GCTTAGTTTCAGTGGAAATTTTAGGCAAATCTTTGTAAAAGCCCAATACCCAATAATTATTTAAAAAGGTTGACATTTGTGGCAACACTGTATGATTTATTTTTGTTAAATATTTTGTACACACATTTTAATAGCATGAATGTTACAATAAATAAATGTTGCCAATGCTTACAAATTCCAGGGCAGGAGGTTTGTATACTTTTCAGAAGTAAATATAAAATGTCTGCTTGTTAGGGCCTGCTCTAGCTATAGGCACAATAGGCAATGACTAAATCATTATTAATTTTCTTATTGGATGTATGTTGGTTGCAATAAGGAACCTAAGGTCATACAAGCATAAAAGCAAATTTTAGGCAGGCAGGTTACTTTTGTAAGTGATAAACTAAAAATCTTTTTCACAGTGTATTATAGCATTTTTTAGTATTTTCCATCAACAGCAATACAAAGTTGAAACAGGTATGTAAAAATATAAAAAAAAAAGTTCATAAAAAAATTCAGATGATTATATAAACTCTTAATTTACAGAAAACTAAAATGGATCAAAGTTTGACAAGGAAAAAAAAATGGTTGCATGCAGTCTAATAATGTACCATTACCCATAGCACCTATAACTAAAATTCCAGGTGCATAATTGTACTACTTTAAAAAGACACCACACCTTCATTATAATCCACAAACACTTCCACCTTTTTTGGGCTTACACCTCAGGGAGACTCTGGCTCTCAGGGAGCATAGTTTATCCCCCTTTGCTCACAGTCCAGAATCCAAACTCAGGTTTTAGCGTTATCTTTCCCTTCCTTCTAATGGACAATTTAGCCACTCCTAAAGCCTCTCAGTCATCCTTGTGACCTGCACCTCAAAACAAAATGACTCTGTAAACTCATCTTTTCCCCAGACAAAAACTCAATCACCAAAATTGTTTGGTGCATCAGAGAAATCCTCATGTTTCTTTTCATGTTTCACCTCCTTACCATCATCAGACAGGTTGAGAGAAGGATGTGCTGTATGAATGTCCATACTCACATTCACTGGAAACAATAAAGAAAATTGTTATTAAGTACATGTTTGAACATTTTTAAACATAAATTCAAAATGCTATACTGTAATATTGTGAAAATACATGACTGCGATTACATTTATGTAATGTTATTAGAGGTCCAAGTACTGATGGGAGGAGGTGCTATAAAATGCAAATAACAGTTCTTCTGCTACTGCAAGTCCCATTAAGCTTAAAATTCTTATTAAGCTTAAAAAGTCTTATGTATGAGGCACCTTACAAGTGAGATGTTAAGGATGTCTCAATAAGTGGAAAATTATGGCTGCCAGTAGCCAATCAGAATTCAGCAGGAATTTGCCAGGCTTAACATTGGCCAATCATCATAGAATTTGAATGGTATGTAAATATAGGCATTCTCTAACATGCTATGAAATTTTACATCAGTTAGGCTTAAAAAACAAGAATATGTCTTACTGTGTTTAAGACATTTTCCACAAGATTTGTTTGTGGACTTTTTTGTAAGTAGAGAATAAAAAACAAGCTAAATTAATTATCAGTAATAGCTCCCAATAAAAAATAATTGAAAGTTTCAACTAATTCATAAAATGGCACTTGGCTCCTTATTGCCACCTACAATGAAACTGTCTCAAAAATTGCAATGCTACAGTGGGCCACTTGTGACTCACCATCACAACACCGACATTCTGATGTGAAGGTGCTGGGTTCAAATCCCATCTGAGCTGTCACTGCAAAAGTAAAGCCTTGGATACACTGCATGACTTTCAAAGTCCTAACAGATTATAAAAAGACTGGGTGTCTTACACTATCCCACTGGTTTCTGTATATTATTTTTGGCGACAGAAATATTGGGAATCACACTTAATGATTTAACATACTTAACACACTACACAGCTTTTTAAATGTCGCTGATCCAAACCCACCTCACCAAACTTGTGCGAACACATGGGTTCTCCTGTCACTAGGAGACGCAAATTAACAAACATAGAGCAGCTTGATGATGCTGCTGTTTTTACAGCCGATTGCATGGACAGTAAAGAAAAAATCAGTGTGGCAGGTTTTAAAGTTTTAGATGTACATGTGTTCAATTGCGCTCACGCTAAACTTGTTGCTAATATACACTTACAGATTACACTCTAACAGCCAAAAATGTCAAACAGATTTGATATACTCTGACTGGTGAGTCTGTGCTTCTCATACATTACTTGATTTTCTCTCTCGAATCGAACAGCGCCAAAGTCTGCAGAGTACAGCCATTTAGCACTGAAACATGATAAGCATCAAAAAATGTTGGCATTTATAAACATGGGGGCTTCATAACACCTCACTGGACTAAAGGTGCTTGGACCAAAATGGTTGCCGCGTGTGGCAAAACTATATAATTTATTTTTGTCAAATATTATGTATATGCATTTCAGTAACATACATGTTACAATGAAAAAATGTTACTAAATGTGTACAAATTTCCAAGTTTGTACACTTTTCAGAAATAAATAAAAAAAGTTGAGCTTGTCTGCTTAATAGGGCCTATGCGTGCTATGTGCAGAAAAGGCAATAAAAAGGGTAAAAGATTATTCATTTTCTTATTGAATTTATGTTGGTTGCAATAAGGAACATGAACATAGTCATAAAAGCAAATGATGTAAGTGATTCAAGGTAGGCCCCACCTTTTAAATACAACCCCATTTCCAAAAAAGTTGGGACGCTGTGCAAAATGTAAATAAAAATGAAATGCGATGATTTGCAAATCGCTAAAACCATATATTTCTTTGACAATAGTACAAAGACAACATATCAAATGTTGAAACTAAGAAATTGTATTGTTTTTTGAAAAATATGTGCTCATTTTAAATCTGATGCCAACAACATATTTCAGAATTGTTAGGATGGGGGCAACAAAAGGCGGGTAAAGTTATGTAATGCTAAAAACACGCCTGGTGGTTGATTGGCAACAGGTCAGTAACATGATTGGGTATAAAAGAGCATCTCAGAGAGGCTGAGTCTTTCAGAAGTAAAGATGAGGAGGGGTTCACCACTCTGTGAAAGAGCAACATAAAATAGCAAAGAACTTTTGCTTTTCATCATCTACAGTACATAATATCATTCAAAGATTCAGAGAGTCTGGAGAAATCTCTGTATGCAAGGGACAAGGCCAAAAACCAGTATTGCTGGAGATGATCTTTGGGCCCTCAGGCGGCACTGTATTAAAAACAAACACAATTCTATAGAGGAAATCACTGCATGGGCTCAGAAACACTGCTGAAAAAAACTGTCTGTGAAAACTCTACCATGCAAAGAAGAAAGCACATATGAACAGGATCCAGAAATGCTGCCACCTTCTCTGGGCCCGAGCTCATTTCAAATGGACTAAAGGGAAGTGGAGAAGTGTCCTGTGGTCCAACAAATCAACATTGGAAATTCTTTTTGGAAATTATGGACACTGTGCCCTCTGGGTTAAAGACCACTCCGCTTGTTATCAGTGCCCAGTTCAAAAGCCAGTAGTCATGATGGTATAAGGGTGCATTAGTGCACATGGCATGTGTGACACCATTAATGCAGAATGCTGAAGGCGCTATTAATGCTGAATGATATGTACATGTTTTGTAAACATTTGCTGCCATCCAGACGTCGTCTTTTTCAGGTAAGGCCTTGATTATTTCAGCAAGACAGTGTCAAACCACATTCTGCATGTATTACAACAACATGGCTCCATATTAAAAGAGTCCGGGTGCTAAACTGACCTGCCTGCAGTCCAGACTTGGCACTCACTGAAAACATTTGGTGCATTATGAAATGAAAAATACGACAAAGGAGCCCCTAAACTGTTGAGCAGCTGAAATCCTATATCAAACAAGAACAGGAAAACAGTTCACTTTCAAAACTACAGCACTCGCTCTCCTCAGTTCCCAAATGCTTACCGAGTGTTGTTAAAAGAAGGTGCTGAAACACAGTGGTAAACATGCCCCCGCCCCAACCTTTTTGGAACATGTTGTTGGCATCAAATTCAAAATGGGCATATATTTGAAAAAAAAATAATAAAATTTCTCTGTTTCAGCATTTGATTAGTTCTTTTTGTATTATTTTCAATGAAATATAGGGTTTAAATGATTTGCACATCATTGCATTTTTTTTTTATTTACATGTTGCACAGCATCTCAACTTTTTGGAAATGGAGTTGTATATAAAGAGATCTTATTGGCTCATATACAACAGACTGTGATGGAATTAAAGCTTTATAAGCAATGGAGTGGGCATTTTAACACTTTTTTTTTGCTATTTTGCATTTCACCATGAGAAAATACTTCATATAATTATGAACTAGGTAAGGACGCAGTGTCTTACATATTCTTTATTTTGGATGTGGCAGTATTATGGTTAATAACTAACTGTAAACATGTGTTCTGATAAGAGTTTTCACTTTTAATGACCCACACAAAATCTGCTTGAGAACTAGTAGCTTTTCCTTGTGGTGAAACATCAGCCTGTTAAAAAGCCTGCCCAGCTGAAACCCTTCAGTGTTCTGATCTGACATATTCTCTGCTTGTTCATACAATGATACTTTTGTTAATATGGTTTTCTTTAAAAATGTGTAGTTGCAATCTAAACAAACACATGAATATAACCATTCAGTCCTGCTATACGAAAGTCAAATGTTCGACACAATAAAAAAATATACTCAATGTGTGTATGTACAATACAACTTCGAAAACATCACTAAGTCACATTTGCATTTAAATTGTAGTTGCTTTTTTTGTTTTTACTTTTATCGTCATGTGCCTAATGGAAAAATTGCAAAAAAAAGGAAAAAGAGGACAAGAAGAATTCCCTATACATACATACCAAATGAAAGTAAATGTCTATCATATTTTGTTTCAGGATTTTTCATAACTTCCTTCAATCAAATCTCTTAGTAAAGAATGTGTAGTGAAGTACAGAAACAATCAGCATAGTTTAACACAAAGAAACGCTCAGTCATTTTACTCACCTCTGTGCACTCTGTTCTCCTGATCTCTGAGGAAAAAAAGGCATTAGATGATGCTCAACTTAAAAAAATGAGTTACTTTGATGTACTTTTAAAAACACATTTTTCACCTAGAATGTACAGTTGTATGCAAAAGTTTGGGCACCCCTAGCCAAATGACATTTTGTGGATTTTTGAAAAGTAGTGAACACAACCTCTGCTGCATTCTGTTTTCAAAATAACATTTACCTTCAAATGCACAGGTACTTTACATATGACTGACTTAAAAAATTAGAAAATAGGAATTACAGTCAGTGCAAAAGATAAGACACCCAATGGTCATGCTGTAACCATCACGGTCACATTCTTTCACATCATTTAGCACAACTTGCAAAAGCTTTTTGTAGACAGCTAGGAGTCTTTCTATTCTTGTTTTAGGAATTTTCTCCCACACTTCCTTGGAAAACACGCATGGTTCTGCAACATTCTTAGGCTGTCTTGCGTTCATAGCAAGTTTAAGATCTCCCCACAGATTTTTAATGATGTCCAAGTGTGTGGACTGTGAGGGCAATTGCAACAGTTTCTGCTGGCATTTCTTGAAGTAGTTCATGATGGAATTCAAGGTATGTTTTAGATTATTGTCCTGTTGTAGAAGCCAACCTTTTTCAGCTTCAGGGTCTTGACTGGTGACTTTGATGATTGTAATCTATATTGTTTCCTGTGCCAGTGGTGACCACAGAATTCCAAAACAAAATAGATCCACCCACATGCTTAACTGTTCTTTTCATCAACTGCTGCTCCTTTTTTCTCCAAATGTAACTTTGGTGATTGTGGTCAAAAAGTTCAAGTCTTTACTTCATCAGTCCACAGCACTTCCATCCATCCATCATCTAAACCACTCATCCTTCTGGGTCACAGTGGGGTGCTGGAGCCTATCCCTGCTGTCATTGGGCGGAAGGCAGGATACACCCTGGACAGGTCGCCAGTCCATCGCAGGGCAGACAGACAAACATACACATTCACACATCCAATTGGCCTGACAGCATGTTTTTGGACTGTGGGAGGAAACCGGAGTACCCGGAGGAAACCCACGCAGACACGGGGAGAACATGCAAACTCCACACAGAAATTACCCTGGTCACCCGGCCGGGAATCGAACCCAGGCCCTTCTTGCTGCGAGGCGACAGCGCTACCCACTGTGCCACCGTGCCACCCTCCACAGCACTTGTCTTCTTTTAATGCCTCTAGCTTATCTAGATATTGTTTTGCATATGTCAGACATTGACCTTTGTGATAAACTTACAGGTAATATTTCCTTTAGAAGACTCTTCCATGTAGATCACATTTGTGCAAGCAACATTGCACAGTAGAATGGTGCGCCACCACTCCTGTGTCAGCTAAACCTTCCTGCAGGTCCTTTGCTGTCATATAGGGGTCTTGCTTCACTTCTCTGGCCAGCATACAAGCAGTTCTATCTGAGAGTTTTCAAGATCTTGTCTTGACTTCCACAGTTCCTCTTCACTTTCATTTCTTAATGACATTTTAGACAGTGGAAATTGTGAGCTGGAAGCATTTGATATATTTTTAAACCAGCCCTAACAATTCAACTAAGGCCTAAAGAATTCTGAGACTTTACAACTGGTTTGGAGTCCAAACATTTCCACATGCCATACGTTCATTCTATTTTGTTTTCTATTTTTAAGGTAATCAAATATAAAATAACTGTGTATTAACATTTGCATAAACTTTTTAAATATTTTCCTGCAGAGGTTTTGTTTACTACATTTTATTAAAAAATGAACAAAATACGTGTCAAGTAGAGTTAGCCTAATGAATTCCTCTTTTTTTCCTGATGAAGCATGAGTGGTGATTAAAATGTTATTGTTATAAACTCATATTAAACAGCATTATTAAAAATGTAATGGAGTCTTGACAGAAGTATATTAAAAGTAGATTTCATACAAGCATGTGTATGTATGTGTATGTATGAAAGTGATATATGTGACATATATGTATAAATAAATAATATGAGAGAGAGAGAGAGAGAGAGAGAGAGAGAGAGAGAGAGAGAGAGATGTACAGATGTACCTTTTCTCTTATAATAAACAAGTATAACTAGTCCAATGATTGAAATGAGTATTAATGATGAAAGAATGAAATTGAAGATGACACAGGTCCTCCCCCTTTTAAAACATTTATCTAGAGGAATAAAAAATTACATGTATCAGACAAACATGAAATACAAGCAAATAAACACATGGACATATTTTACTTTGTAACTGAGATATTACTGGCTTTAAACCAGGCACTACTTTTTAGTTCATTTTATTTCACTCTGCAAGTATTGTGCTACTACTCTTTGTTAATTTGTGACACAAAATGTTCAAATCTTGAAATGCCCAGCAGAAAACTGTCCAATCAGCATTTATTTCCTTTGATATCTAGTTAGCTCTTTCTTGGTTAGGACTTCATCTATCTATCTATTTATCTCTCCCAAGTTAGCTCTCCCATTTGTTAGGATTTCAGGAACTAGAAAAAGGCCTTAGATCAGCAATTAGGATGCAACAGTGGACTCAAACAGTCATGCTTTGATTTACAAAAGGTGGGACAAATTTTGAGAGAAAATATGTCACAAACTGCAAATACCAGCAGTAGCCTAACCATTGGGTTTCAGTCAGTTGTTACAAATGGAAAACAGCAGCAAGTCAGTGCGAGGGCTCTTTACTGAATGAGTCACTGAAAAACTGCTACATACAAAGTAAAATGTGTTCATGTCTGTTACAAGCATCAAATAAAAATAGAATGTATTTTATGGGCCTCAAATATCTGTATTTCATTGAGTACAGCCTAAAAATTAATTTTTAGTACTAACATCCTACCAGAAATGGCAAAAAGACACCAATAGAAATCAGCCGTATCGTAGAGGTAGATTTTTTCTTGTTTCCTGACAGAATTTTGTCCCAAACTGAAGGCCTAGCTCTATCACAATTCGCCATTGAATTCATCACAATTAAAGCCTGTGAAAATCAACTGAGTTAGCACAGATTCTAATCTGCTACTTGTCAAGAACATAAAACAATTTGGAGCAGCAATATTTACTGCTACATGCTATTTATTACCAATGGTTTAGATCCATATCTGTGGATTCTGACATGTGAAATGCACTGTAACTTTTGCAGGTGCTTGTGCAGTACAAAGGCTCTTACCTTCAACTGCAACGCCAAGAGTTACATTGTCATCCCCCAACTCAGACTTAACTAAGCACTTATAAATTCCATTGTCAGAGGCTTGAACGTCTGAGAGTTTGAGGGAAATGTTGCCTTTCTGTAGCTCCTCTTTAAAAAGACCTGTTCTCCCCCTGTAGGACTCAGCCTGCTCTGTGCTTTTGTCTTCATGATCTGTGTAGAGATGCACTGCTGGATCTGCCTGATCTAGTCTGAGCCACTCCACTGTCATACCCACAGCACTGATGTTGGGTTGGAGGGAACAGGGCAGAATGAGGTCTTCACCAACTACAGCGATCAGAGGAACAGATGGACCAACCAGCCTAAAAACCTCTGTTATGAGATATAATCTATATGTAGGTTATTAACCTGAGCCATGTAGAATAGCAGAAATCCAAAACAGAAATTACATGAACAGTAACTATCAGTAAAATATATGTTCAGTAATGGTCTTATAAAGATGCACTGTAGATACAACTACAGGCAGAAATACCTGTTTATATTAAGGACTAAAAGCAGGAGAAAGCCAAGACTGACTTAAAAAACATGGTGGGTCAAAACAGTTAATTCATTATTGGGAACATGAATTCCTTCAAATAAAAGCAAATAATAGAGGATGAATTTGAACATCTCAGTGATCAACATGTGTGCCAGGAAATCATCTATAGGTTTTAGTTACTTTCCCTTTAGAATTAGGTAATCAACATTTTACATGTGGATACATACCTGATCTTGACGTTGTGAAGCTGCAGAGAATTTTTAGTGCCACAAACATCATATTCATCCCTGAAAGACAATTTATCATAGCTTAGATCACATCTGCATCGCATCTGAAATGCCCCGCTATGTAGTGCACAAACTAAATGTGTATTTGAAGAAATATACAATTCCTCTTTGCTTGAAACCGTCTTCTGAAGCTCTCTTAAGCAGTCTATGAAAAAATCTTTCATTTTCATTTTGTACAGTAAGTAGAACAGCCAGTCTGACAGCATATCCGCTCACTCGCATCCCTGTCCTATCACACACACGCGATGACGCTCCTTCATACCTCATCTATTTTCTTTAAAAACGTCATCTATGAAAGGCAGAGCTCCTGTATAACATGTTCAGAAGAAAAAAAACCCAAGGAGAACCACATAAATCAAATAAATCAGAGTTCTCAGTTTTAAAGGTTTACTTCCTGTTACACTGAAACTCATCATGCTGAGAAGGGCCTGGGTTTGATTCCCCGGCGGGGCGACCAGGGTCCTTTCTGAGTGGAGTTTGCACGTTCTCACCGTGTCTGCATGGGTTTCCTGACATGCAGTTAGGCCAATTGAACATGCTAAACTGCCCCTAGGTGTAAGAGTGTGTGTGAATGTATATGTCTGTCTGTCTGCCCTGTGATGGACTGGTGACCTATCCAGGGTGTATCCTGCCTTCCACCCAGTGACTGCTGGGATAGGCTCCAGCTCCCCCTGCGACCCAGAAGGATAAGTGGCTTAGAAGATGTGTGTGTGTGATTGTCCCTCTATTACTACAATTTCTTATAGCCATTTGTGTGGATAGTAAGCATGTAAAAAAGAAGTCCAAAATGAATGTTACTATTGGGTGAAGTTCTTATTTATCTTTGCCATATACACCCACTGGTCACTTTATTCAGCACACATACCTTTTATCTCCACTGTATGTTCATTTTATCAGGTCCACTTATCATATTGGTGCATGTCATAGTTCTAAACTTACAGACTGTAGCCTATCTGTTACCTTTTACCTGATTCATTAATTGTTAGGACCCCCCATGGGACCACCACTGAGTTGGTATGATTTAGATGGTGGATCATTCTCAGCACTGCAGTGACAACTAGCCAACTAGTCAACTAGCATCCATGCTCCCAGCATGAGGACATTAATAACATTCTAATAATTTACTTAAATGAATAACGTACTTTCAATCTGTAATACTGGGCAAAAAGATTATACTTTCAAAGTGACCTCATCAGTCAACATCAAAACATCATCTAAATTAAAAAAAGAACGAGAAAAGAATTCTTCTCATCTTCTTCATACAAGTAATTTGATACTTTCTGCAGAACACGTGACTTTTTCTGATTTTCCTGATAGTTCAGAGGGGTGAATGTGTTTAGGTAACAGGGTTGAATGAATGATAAGGGACACAACTGAACTGTACATTTTTCAACGGATTGCAGTCATCAAACAATTACTTTCAAGCATGAGATGTTAAATGCACATATTAATGCAAATAATAATACGACTTTTTGAAATACATTAATGATTACGTCTCAAGGTAAAGTGTAGTTATAGTGTGCTGAGACAGTCAAAATTACTGTTCTTCTGTAGATAGGTTTTATTAATGTTTTAAGTTATTTATCTGAAACATGCACATATAGGTTGTTGTGAAGGACACTTTGACCATGTTTTGATCTGTACTTTAACATACATTTGTAAATGTAATATCAGGGGGACACAAATGGCACCCAAATTGTAAAATAACCTGTCTGCAAGATTACCCACAAGATTTCAACATTTAAACGGAAAAAATATAGCAAACTACGTTACTTTATGTATTGTATTTATCTATATATCTTTATCTATAGATCTTTACTTTATCTATATATCTAATGATTTGTTGTTAAGACCATTAAAAACTTAATGTTTTACCATTTTTTGCTTGGCCCCTTTTTGCACAGTAGTGTATAATTTGTTTCTAAAATACTTCAACAATTACTGTTTAAAGAAAAATAAGACTTTAAGAAGTTACATATTTTATACAAATGTTTGTTCTGTGGTGTATAAAAAATCATCTTGTAGTCATACAAATTATTACATACAGAATTAGAAAATGTAGCTGCTTATCAAGTTAAATTGCAAAACAATGTCTCATACACAGTTGGCTTGATCTCATGTATGCACTTATTTTATAAAGGCACACTGAATGGGTTGAAACCTATACTTCAGGGACACATACAACTTTTTATTCCACAAAGTATAACTTTTCAGACATCATCTCTGATTTAAAATAACTTTAGCATCTCACAGTTCCCTCAAAACTCCAATGAGCATATCAGTTACCTTTCCTAACATGGATGATGGTAAGGCACTGAATGTAGGTCTGTTTTGTCCTCATATTTTGTTGAAGATAATTCCACAGAGATATATGAAATCAAAATTTCCTTGTAATCATAAATACACCTGATCTAAACCTAGAGTTAATAAAAGTTAACACAACCAGGTGGTGCCACACAAACATGTTTTAGTCCTGTGTTTCTAATATTGCTAAAATGATAACATTTAAATTGTGATGATACAGCTTAATGCTTAATTGATCTGAGAAAAAAAATATATGCTGAAAACTACATAATTTTTATTCAACCATGTTAACACCATAGTATTTATCACAATTAAGTAACTTCGTCTAAAGTAAATTCAAATGTTAAAAATATCATCACTTTATTCATGTTACTTTCTAAAAGTGTTCATTACAAAAAAAAAATATTTGTTGTGGTTTTATGATCTGCACTGTAAAAATGATTTGGTGTAGTCTTAACCTTAAAGGTTTTGTGAAAACTTAAAACATAAAGAATGTAAGACAGATTATTACTATATTAACTTGGTATTAGATGTTCAATGAAATCCAAACAAAATGTGAAGGCAGCCAAGTCACTTACATCTTTAAGTTACACAACAAATGTTTACAACAGTAATAAGTAAACAACAAAATTAACTTTTTTTTACTGTTCCTCGTTATATTTAGATTAATTATTTACAGAAAATCCAAACTGACAAGAGTGTTCCAAAGAAAGATAAAAGGCTTCCAGCACATAATCTAATGGTGCACTATTACCCATGTGAACAAAACTATTACTATTGAGAGCGATATCTGCTTTTCATTTCTGCCTAGTAAAAGACACATCAACCCACCCAGCACAATGCAGGTCCCCAGACTAACTCTACAAGTTGGAGGTTAAAACCCTACCTGTCTAAACACATCAAATCATAATACCTGAAAGAGAAAACAATCATTTGCTCTGTGATCACAAGCAATGCTCGATTTTACACTTGATAAACACTTCCAGACATACTGCGATAGTCTCTTGGCCGTTTACAGGTGGCTGCAGTAATTTTGTGCAGATACAGCATTCAATGGATTAACCTGTGTCAATCAGTTCACTCAGACTACACTGTTCACTAATATTTTTTTCTTAACACGCCAGGTTCGTTTCTGCAGTTCTCTGGTCTTCAGCAGACTTATATGTGGGTTTTAAGTCGAGACTCACTTATAGGTGTAATGATTAGAGGAGCTGTATTTTGACCTCCATGTTTAAAACCAGGACTGAATATTGGATAGAGCTTCTCAGAGAAATGCTGATCTGTGAAGGAATAAAGTTCAGCCTTGCCAATTACATCATAAAAAGACACCACACCTTCATTATAATCCACAAACACTCCCACCTTTTTGAGTTTATGTCTCGGGGAGACACTGGCACTCGGGCAGAACATACTATTCCCCATACTCAAAGTCCAGAATCCAAACTCAGGTTTCAGTGCAATCTCCCCCTTTCTCCTTATAGTCTCTTTGGCAACTCCTAAAGTCCACTCAGTCTTTCCTCTGACCTGCACCTCAAAGTAAAATGACTTTTTAAACCCCTCTTTTCCCAGGATAAAAACACAGTCGTCAAAAGCGTTTGGTGCATCAGAGAAATCCTTCCGCTTTTCTCCATATTTTACCTCCTTTCCATCATCAACCAGGTTGAGATAGGGGTGAGCTGTACCAATGTCCATGACCACATCCACTAGAAAGGAAGTACAGTACATGTTCGACAATTTTAACATGGATAAAAGGTAGTTTTGTTAATTTACTTGAAAGTGCCATTTTTAAAATAGGTACTGTAGCACAATATTTTTAAAAAATGTATCGTTTGATTTTTTTTGGCAGAAAAAGCACTGTGTTTACAAGATGAAACACAGAGCGAAATGCAGAATCAAATACACAAATTTCAAATACAGAGTTAATATACAATATCAGTCCTCTGACATGAGCAAAACCAAAAACCTCCACTTTTCTACATACTTTTCATAATATCTTGGTAGTCAGCATTGGTGCAAGATCACTATTAAAAGTATGTGAGATAATTTTTGAATTACACAAGGCCATTTTGTGGAGTAGCAGAATGATTGTTGAAAAAAACACATGGCTTATATAATTGATAATATTCTCCATTAAATCATATTGCATTTTCATGAAAATGCATTGTGTGTGCACTGAGCTGTCCCAAAGAGTGTCTCTGTCAGTGTGCAGCAGGGCTTAATGACGCAGGTAGACTAACAACTTCACCATGTTTTATTGTATCAGCATTATGTGATTATTACCCACCTACTCTACAAAGCATACACATATGTAATTGTGTTTTAATATTGACATATAAAGCATTAGATGTCATTAAATAGAAAATGTATCACACTCTTCGAATCCTAATAAAATCCAAAAAAAAGCATGGCAAAAAAAATCCTTATCTAATACAAAGAATTATATAGTCATCTCACTCACCTCTGCATAAAATGTTCTTTTCTATTTCTGAAAAGAGATGAAAACAATTTACATTGTGTTTTGTTCAAGACATTAGATGAGGTTCAACTTTAAAATATAGTTATGAAATAACTGATGTATGGGAGGAAGCCCACACCTGAATTTTCTCCTCCTTCAAATCTCTCTATAAATTTCTATCTCTCCAGTCTGTCTCCTACAACAAAGTTTTCATGTCCCACCACCTTCCCATCTCCTCCCTCCATCTCAGTCCTATCTCTTAGTTCTACCTCCGTTTATCAATGCGGGGTTCAGCCTTCCAGCTTAATTTTTTTCTACAACCATACCATTATCATATGCTGAAAGTGTGGTTCAAACTGTTAAAGTTATTTTAACCTATGGGTATCTAATATTATTCGTAAGGGGCCAGTGTGAGCAGAAGAAGCACACGCAACCAGTTGTTTGAAGAATAAGGTCAAGTGATCAAAACAAGTAAAATCAGGTGTGCTCCTGCATGGTTGGAGTGAAAACCTGCAGCCACACTGGCTTTTTGTGGGAAAGATTGGACACCCCTGGGATAACCCCCAAAAATGAAAATGTATGGGTTCATGTACTTCATTATTTTGGAATAACAGCAAGATAATAAAACTTGCTAAAAACAATTATAAAATGAGTTTATTACAGTTACCTTTGTCAACTCTTCGTTTTTCATGGATTCTGAATCGACCCATTCTAGCGAAAAAATATTCTTGTGGAACAAAACAAAGGCATTTTTTTTTAATTCCTGAAATTTTGGAAATTTGGAAATATAAACTATAAAGAATTTTATATAAAATAGAAATACCTTTTCTCCTACAATAAGCACATGTAATTAGACCAGCGATGAGTACTATTGATGAAAAAAGGAAATTGAAGATAATACTGATCCTCCACATCATAAAACTTTTATCTGGAAAAACATAAACCAAAATGATAAACAAACAAACAAAATAATGAACAAAAGTATAGACATATTTTTCTATATGATTAAAATCAGGGGCGGCATGGTGAGGTGGGTAGCTCTGTCACCTCACAGCAAGAAGGGCCTGGATTCTGTGTGGAATTTGTGTGTTCTCCCCGTTCTGTGTGGGTTGCCTCTCACAGTCCAAAGACATGCAGTTGGGCCAACTGGATATGCTAAATTGCCCCTAGGTGTGTGTGTGTGTGTGTGAATATATATGTCTGTCTGTCTGCGCTGAGATGGACTGGTGACCTGTCCAGGGTGTCTCCTGCTTTCCACCCAATGACTGGTGGGATAGGCTCCAGCTCCCCCGTGACCCAGAAGGATAAGCAGTTTAGAAATGTGATTAAAATCACATGGGAACCAAATTATTACTACACTGTAACTTTCAAATAATATAAAACTTACTTTTAAAAAGGAAAGGACTTCACATTGAAAGTCAGGTTGCTTTGTAAAAAAAATTCATTTTGGAGCTGCTGAGGATGCCATATTGGATTTAATCAGAGCTGTTTGCTACCGTAAGTTGCCATACTGACCCGACATCACTTCAAACTGTCTGTCTGCTGCCATACTGACCATACTTCACTGGAAACTGTCTGTCTGCTACCATAGTGACCATATTTTACTGCACTGTCTGTATGCTACTATATTGACAAAAAAATTGCTGTCTGCAGTGAAGTATTGCCAGGAGCCTCATCAATGGTGAACAATAATTAATATTTATACAACTATATAACAGGACCATACACATTTAATGTGTCACTGGCCACCATATTGAGATTGATTAAAACAGTCACTTACTAGAGATTATGACCTCTGTTTGCTTCACATGATATCTTTGTTTAACTCTGCAGTAGAACCTGTTAGAGTCACTTTTATAAATAGTGATACAGCGTTTCACACTGAAGCCCTCAGAGTCTCTGTGTGTCTGTGTAGCTTTAGCATTCAGAGTGACTCCTTCACTGTCCAACCACTCAACTTCTGGTTCAGGATTCCAGCCTTTAGATTCACACACCAGACTCAATGCTCCTGAAACATAAAGCTCCTCCAGAGTGATCACTGGATCTCTACCTGTAACTGTAAAGATCACACATTTACAAAGTACTCATATGAGAATTCTTATTCTTTGAAGAGCACTGGATATAACTGGATATAATATAATTACGGCTGTATAGCTGAAGTATGTGAAAATCAACTGAATTAGCTCATGCTGCAAAGGTTGATAGTTGATATATACAACCTATAGAATACGACCAGCAGTGTTTCTGGCTAAAATGCCTACAAGAAACAGTCCCATTGAATGTTGTAAGGCTGGACAGAAAGCTTTTCATGTTCATGTATTCATTGAACTGACTACTTACTTGTGTTATTTTTCATGACCTTGTCACTAGTGTTTTTAATGATTTTTAACCTGCTTTGACTATGATAAAAAGCCTAACATGTCAGTAAAATGTTTTTTTTTTAATGTGTGGAGTGTTTTTTCAGTAGCCGTGTTTAATGTTTTTTGAAAAGCCAAAGTAGCCGTGTTTAATATTTTTTGAAAAGCCAAAGCAGCAGAGTGTTTAATGTTTTTTGAAAAGCCAAAGTAGCAGAGCGTTTAATGTTTTTTGAAGAGCTGAAGTAACAAACATATGAAATGTTTAAAATCTGTGATTTAAAACTACAGTGAGAAATTATTTTAAATACGGCCTTGTACATGATGTATAGCTATTTATTCTTCAACATAAATATTTTACATACCTGCTGATTTACTATGAAGTGTTCTACTTCAGTGTAAATCAAAATGGCATAGTTTTTTTTATCTATTTGCCAACATCATAAAAAACCTTCTAAACAAACACTACATGCCATTGACTGGACTTTAGAGCTACTGTCGTATGCACAAATATTACAATTTGACCAGGGGAGTTTAAACTTTTGCATACAACTGCATATCTGTGAGTTCTGACCTGGGAAATGCATTTTTAAATTTTTACTTGATGTGCAAATGCTTTTTTAAACTTTTGCTTACCTTCAACTATGATATTAAGCGTTATGTCGTCGTACCAGTTCTCAGACTTAACTAAGCACTTGTAAGCTCCCTCGTCAGAAAGTTGGACTACTGAGAGTTTGAGGGAGGTGTTGCCCTCCTGTAGCTCCTCTTTGAACAGAGCTGTTCTCCCCCTGTAGGACTCAGCCTGCTCTATGCTTTTGTCTTCATGGTCTGTGTAGAGATGCACTGTTAAAGCTGCCTGATCTAGTCTGAACCACTCCACTCTCATGTCCACAGCACTGATTTTGGGTTGGAGGGAACAGGGTAAAATGAAGTCTTCACCAACTACAGCAATCAGGGAAACAGATGGACCAACCAGCCTAAAATTCTCTGTAAATAAAAACACCAAGCATCAAATATTTGTGGCCTCCTTTTTACTGGCTTAAAATGAGTCACATGGAGTAGTTTTGACTAGCTGTGCCATGGCAACAGTATTTATGATCAACTCTAGCTTAAACATGGGCTTTCGAACATTTGAACCTTGTAATCATATCAATGTAATTAAATTTGTACATTGTCGTTTCATAGTGAACTCTTCTGTAAAAGTGTAAAACATAAACCATGTCTGTGAGTGAAGATAGCATGTTAGCTATTTGCCAAGCTGGTCAGCCTGTATGTAGGTGTAACCTCTTTTAAAATGACTTGTACAAGTACAATTTAATTAAAAAGCTACTTAAGAGAATATTTAAGTGAACGGACTGAAGTACTACTTGGACCGAAATAGTTTTCATGTGGAGGTGGGGTAATGTTACTTTACCACAGGACATCTGTAACGTTTATGTTTTCCCATAATTAGCATGCAATAAGAAATCTCAGGATAAATGACAAAGATTGGAGTGACTACTCAATTTAAGCACTGCCTTTATGTCAGAAAAAAAATGTTAAAACATTTAATTTAGACGACATTCCATTTACTCTAATCAGCTGTCTTGCTGTCTTTAGTGAATGGACAGTGTCACTAGCTTTTAGAATTAATAGAATTCATTAGAATTTACAGCCAACAGTTAACATCACAATTAAATTAAAGCTCATTCAAGTGCCTCCATACTTAAGAAACTCATTTTTCACACAATATGATAGTATTTCTTCTGACATGTTGAATCACATGAGATCACTATGACTTGAAACTATTTCTTTTGCTCATTTTATAAAAGGTAAAAGGTGTCACGATCTTACCTGGCGCAGCTGGGCGCAGTCCCTAAAAATTATTAACACTGCGGATTTGGATGGGACTAAAATCACTGAGAAATGCAGGTAAAAATTACATTACCCACCTCCATGTGTAAAACTAATCCTGTCCAACTATGGCTAAAGTGTAGTGTGTTATTACCCATGTCTGATAAAGAAATAAGAAAGGAGATCCAGCAAAATAAAATGTACAACATTAATTAAATTAGTAAGATGTAATCATATGACCTAGTAGATTTAATTTGGAGAGCTAATTAGAATTTGGAGAACTTAGCTGAATATCAAGGAATAGCTAAACTGTCCTCCTCTGTCAACTCCTTCCCGTAGTAGATGTTTCATTACTGGCAACGCTGTTTGATTGTGATTTTACATTTCACTTTGTTTTTCATTTTGTCCAAAGTAAAGTATAATCAATCTATTGATATGTGTAGCAGGATGCATTGTTCATACCGGCAGTCTATGAGGCAATAGTTGCTAACAAACACTAGAAGTTAACACCTGTTATCTAAAATGCCTGCAGCATTCAGCTGCACACTGAAGTTTTGTTCCTTTTTAGAGTTTACAGTAAGTCATACTGTGTTCTATACCACACTGACTCGTCTGCACGATCTTACTGAAGACCTGTGTGCAGTTTAAACAGGTTGAGAGAAATTTTGGCGATGTATTTGCAGAAAGGATATGAGTGTCTGTTGACTTCTAGTGTGAACAATGTTAACTTCATAGCTCCAGTGTTAAACTAAAGAAGCAAAATCTGGACTCCAAACATGGCTTAGTTGACTGACTACATTTAGAGTAAATGGAAAGTTGTGTAAATTTTATTTTTTTGCCAAAATACTCCTTATGGGGTCAGTTTGTATGGAGCACGAGGGCACTGTTTAAGAAGTGTGGAATGGAACGCAGCTTATTTATTTATGTATTAAGCATACTGAGCTTTAGCTCACCTTGGCGCTTTCCTGTTTAAGACTTGGCTATAGTGACCTCAGTAGAACAACTGAGCTAGGTACCCTTAAACATCAGTAGAACCCCAAGACACGGTCTTTATACTGCATGTTAAGTTATGGTAAACCAGGAGTCTTCAAATAGGTGCACTCCTAAAACACGTTTGTACATGTATTGGTGGCACGGCTCTGTGATAAGCATTGAGCCTTACAAGGAACTGAAGATGAAAAAGACTGATTTAAAAAACTTCAGCGATTCATATTACAAGCAATGCAATTGTATTAAGGAATAATTGTAAAAAGTCTGATTTTCGTTTAAGATATGTGCTTCTATGATTATTTTCCTTAGATATACTCTCACGCAATCTCTGCTAATCAAAGGCAAGAGCAGGTACATTTGAATCTCTCCTCACTCAACATGCAGAAGAAAGTCATGTTACACGTTACTTTTTTGGTATACTACCCCTTTAAAGAGAAGTAAGCAACATTTCATAAGATTTAGATACGTACCTGATCTTGATGTTGAAAAGCTACAGAGAACCACTAGTGCCACATACATAAACTGCATCCCTTAAAGACATTTTATCATCGTTAAAATCACATTTGCATCATATTTGAAACAATTTGCTATGAATTATTCACACACACACACACGTTTTAAGCAATATACAATACATACTTGAAGTTAAAATGCTCACTCGCTTGAAACCTTCGTCCTGAAGCTCCCATAAACAACCTACAAATGAATTACTTTCATTTACAAAAACCAGAATATCCGGTCAGTTTATCTACTCAATCGCATACCTCTCCCATTACCCCTTTATGCATACATTCAAATCTGATCTAGGGCATTACATTTTTGTAACTTGGTCAGGCAGCAAAATCATATAAATGATGCTTCTACTTGGAAATAGGTTTCAGCATTTACATGTAAGCCTCAAGCTGTCAGTGACGAAACATGTCTTTCAGGAATGAATATGGTAATGTGAACCATTGAAAAACAACTGATGTAGCCACTCGTCCTATTACTCTAGTTTTTTATAGCCACTCATAAACCGGCTCTGGCCATGTCTGAGGAATCAGCCTCAATTTGGCATTCAGCTGGCTGGCACTCTCTCAAAAAATCATGGCCACTGGAAATGTAGTAGTGATACCAGTACCTTCACTACTGAAACCCGGCTTTTTATAATGTCCTCTCGTCCTTTTATCCTCAAAAAGTCATCAGTACCCCTGCAAAATGGTCAGAAATAGATCCTGGAAAGAGATCATAGTCTTTGTTCCCATCTTCTCCTGTAATCTCTGTACAGTTCTGAGAGAGGAGCACAGCTACGTCAGTCAGGTATGTCTATGCACAGTTTAGGGGGAGGGTCAAAATATCTCCCAGGACTTGGTATGATTTCCACCATGCCAGAGTCCTCAATGAATGGGAGAAAATTGAGATCTACGGCTATGAATGAAAAGTTAAAATAGGTTTTAATCACTTTCCGAGAACGTTTCTATAATTTTAGAACTCTGAAGGATGTATTTCACTAATAAAGCAAAGAAACGGGTTTTGGGCAGCAAAACGCTGGCATTACTGCTAGTTAGTGCTATTGGCTGTTTGAGCTCATGCACGTACATGAGGTGACATTTTAAACTAAGCAGTATTGCTTACCAATCAGCACTCAGTAGCAGTAATGCTGACCAATCAGCACCCAGTAGCAGTATTGCTGACCAATTAGCACTCAGTAGTAGTAATGCTGACCAATCAGCACTCAGCAGCTGTAATGCTGGCATATTACTGCCCCAAACCCGTTTGCTGTAGAAATATACAGGAAATGTACATTTTAACTTTTCGTTTTTATCCCATTAGCTTTAATTTCCCTATATATTTAGGACATTTTGATATAACGAGAGAAATACGAAGTGGCCAAGCTTCCTTTAAAACGGCTCTGATAAAGCTTTTTAAAGATAAAGTTTTTTGGGAAAATGTACCAAGCATCAATGCAGAGCTTCAAAGTACAGCGTTTCAGTTTTTTGACAAATGCTTTGATGCTTCAGGGTCAAGGGTATCGTCACTACTTTAAAGTTAGCATGAGGGTTGTTATACTCAAACAGCACCACCAGATTGCAGGGAAGCACTCAATATCAGCTGAAGTAGCCAAATTCATTAATTAGAAGAGGCCTCTGGACACTTTTGGAGAAAGTGTATTCATACACTCAGAGTTCTGTTACAAAAATCTTTATACAGTGAAACAGCAGTACAATGTATAGCATAAAAATGCACATGCATAACGCTTGATGTCAGTTCAATGAGAATCAATATTTCTTAACAGATGGTTAACTGACAGTGATTAAAAAAGATTAAGTAAAAAGGGGCTTACTGATGGGTAAAATAAAACAATCGAGAGAACATCATAGAACTGATCCAATTAAAGACAGCAGCATTGTAATGATGAGGCTCAGGCCAGCTGAGCGCAATCACCATCAGTCTATCCTGCAACATGAGGGGCTTAAGCAACTACGACTGAGCCATCAGCCAGTGGCAAGTTTCCTAAAAACCTTTAACCCGAATGATCATTTAAAGATGGTATAGTAAATCATCACTCATACTTTCACACTACAATGCTTTGGGGAAACTGGTCCCAGGACGAATTGCGAAAAAAGCAACATTCTGTTAAAAAATCTGTGACACATTTTAAGGAACTCTACAGAAAAAGAATAACTTGATAAAGCTTAAAATCTGACAATATTCAAAATTCCCTTCAAAATAGAGCAGATGTTTCAGTGTTGTAGCATTCTGAAGGCTCTAAGACAGCAGTTGTATGAGAAGAAATAAGTAATATAAATCCTTCTGGATAACAGAGATGCTGTCTATATGCTCAACAAAAGCAAGCGCCAATATCAATGATATAAAGTGCTGTCCTGTTTTCATGATTAAAAAATAAACAGATGAACACAAACCATCCTCACTGTCTGGTGAAACATGAATTTCAACCTTCACAGCTGCACAAAATATTGTCCGTATGTCTGAGGAATCAGCCTCAATTTGGCATTCAGCTGGCTGGCACTCTCTCAAAAAATCATGGCCACTGGAAATGTAGTAGTGATACCAGTACCTTCACTACTGAAACCGGCTTTTTATAATGTCCTCTTCGTCCTTTATCCTCAAAAAGTCATCAAGTACCCCTGCAAAATGGTCAGAAAATAGATCCTGGAAAGAGATCAGAGTCTTTGTTCCCAGTCTTCTCCTGTAATCTCTGTACAGTTCTGAGAGATGAGCACAGCTACTTTCAGTCAGGTATGTCTATGCACAGTTTAGGGGGAGGGTCAAAATATCTCCCAGGACTTGGCATGATTTCCACCTCTTTGTGGAGGAACATGGGGGCAGTTTTCAGAGGTTCAGGTGCAGCTGGCATCTCCTCAAAGGCTTCAGATTCATCATGCTGCAGATTGTAGGAGATGTTGCCGTACTCTCGCAGGAAGGGTAAGAGCTCCAGCAGGAAAAGGCAGAAGTCTTTGCGGATGCCAAACCACCCTGTGCAAAGGAAGATGTCACAGTACTGTAAATTATAATCAACAAACTCGCTACTGTGATGTGTTATACATAGCTCTGATGTCAGCCATAATTCTACAATTAAACAATATGAATACAACTAATCCAATATCTACACACAGTCATGGATTATACATTTTACGCACAGTGATTCCCGCCTTTTTGTCTGAAGGTGGTGGTCATGAGAGTGACCAGTGAGACCCACAAAGGCACAAACACAGACACATAACTCAAGCCGTTATGTTCATCCAGTTTATGAACCAGCAAAATCTGAAGAAAAGAACAAAAAAAAAGGTTAACTATACATTCATAATGAAGACAGTCGCAGATAGCCTAGATAGTTTAGTACCTGGCGCCTAGAGTTCAGAAAGGACTTTCAATAAGAGAAAAAAGAAAGCTCCAAACACGTTCAAGTCAGATTTCACTCTGAACACTGTTAGCAAGAAGTCTTGCTAAAGTTCTGGTATATAAAATGAAAATTAAAGAATGAATTTGAAATGGTCCTTTCAGACTGGAATTTGATGTTACCAACAGCCATAGAACAGTGCTTCCCAATTCAGTCCTTAGTTACTCCAGACAGTGCTGCTTTTTTCTTTACAGCAGTTGACCTTATCCACAATACTGAATACCACTGGTACCATTTCTGCTGGGACCAAAAACAGAACAAAAATGTGAACTGTCTGGAGGTCCCTAAGAACTGGAGTAGGAAACCTCGACATAGCAGTCTAGAATGAAAGATTAAAGGAGTTTTTGCTCTGCCAGCCTCAGTAGTTACATTACTTCTACGGCCTGAAAAGTATTGCATCACAACGTCACATGGATGTGTACACTATATGTCCAAAAGTTTGCAGACACTTATTATTCCAGTTCTTCTACAATGAAAGGTATTAGTAGAGAGTTTGTTTTCCCTTTGCTGTAGTAAAGCAAATTGGCAATGCTTTTTATGGAGTTTGTTAGAGGGACCTTAAAGTAGCTGAATTCAATAATTAGAAGGAGCGTCTGGATACTTTTGAACATATAGTGTAAATTCAGAAGAAAATGAGGGACCTCGAAGGTGAGGAGTGGCACCACTATGGTCATCCAGCTCACAGCCATAGTGATGTATGTGCGACGCTGCTCTGCGATGATGTCCACGGAGCGGAGGAAGAGCATGGACCAGACGATATAATAGAGAACCACCAGACAGAGGAAAGACATGAGGATCCACAGCGGCACACACACAACCTATACATAACAGTAATAGTTAATGGCGGAATTACAGTACATTTGCAAACAACAGATAGTATTATTTACTACTTATAAGAAGGAAAGTATTACTGTGCATGATATACTATATGTCTAACAGTCTGTGGACACCTGTTCATCCGACGGTTCTTCTGGAATCATGGGTATTAATAGGGAGTTTGTCCTCTTTTGCTGCAGTAACAGCCTCTACTCTTCAGGGAATGCTTTAAACTAAATGTTAGAACATTGCTGTGGGGATTTGACTGGATTCAGCCACAAAAGCTTTAGTGAGGTCAGGTACTGATGTTGAATGATTAGTTCTAGATCACAAATGCTACTGCAGTGCATCCCAAAGGTACTTGATGGAGCTCTATCACTCCAGAGAACACCGTTCCACTGCTCTACAGCCCACTCTTGGGGGGTTTTATATAGCATTGGGCATGGTGGCTTTAGACTTATGTGCGGCTTCTACAGAGCATCCTATACTATATCTGGATACTTTTGGACATGTAGTGTAATTTTATGAATTTCACAAGAGCCATTTTAGACAGTACTCTCAAAAGACCCCTAGGAAATAACAAAAAGAATAACTGAAAAAAGGTGGTTAATCTGAGCTTTAATGCCTGCAACAAATGTGTTATTCACTAAACAATAAAACACCCACTGTTAAATCTAAAGATGAGTTAAAAGGTGCTCTTACTAGCCAGGACCAACTGATGATACCGTCCAGCTTCAAGGCAATAAAAATGAACTGAAGAATATTGACTGAGCACATAATCTCCAGCTGAGAGAGAGAGACCAAAAAACACATGATGAGTCCTGTGTCAGTGTACAAAAAACATACAATACAAATAGATGGGAACAGTCTAATCAAAAACCAAGACATGCATGCAAATATTTCACATATTTTTACTTTTCAATCAAATTGTTATGCTGATAATTTATGATGAAAAATTTAAAAAGAAATGTAATTTTTCACTTTCTTGTTTTTTAATTTTAAGAAAACTGATTTTCATTAGGGTCTAAGACTTCTGGAGCCTACTGTATTTATGTAACAGTGTATTTGTGTGCGTTTGCCTGTTTCAGACCTCCAGTGATCGGTCATGGCGGAATCCCCACACACAAGCTGCCACTGACAGAGGTGAGACAAAAAAGAGAGGCATGAAGACGAGTAGCCAGACGTGGTCAGATGTGACTCTCTCCATTTTGTCACACACCAGTACTTCAAACATCAGCAGAAGAATGTGGATGCCCACTGCTATCAGCATGGCTTTGAACTCCACAGATGTCTCACCCTCCGCTCTGAACACACACACAAACACACACAAACACCACACACACACACACACACACACACATTAAGGACAACAATTGAGTAACTATCTATTATATATTAAAAAAATATATATATCCATGCATCTTTAATGAAACCATGCTTATAAAAAAGACAAAATGCATAAAAGCAAATGTACTGCACTTTTTTAAGGTTTGGATTCATGATACCCAAATGGAGTTAGTCCACTGGTAACGCACCTGTAACGAGGGTTGTGAGCCCACACACCAGTACCAACAGTGGCACCGATGATGACCATGAGCTTCCACAGCCAGATGGGAGCGAACACAGCCCAGCAGCTCCACTGGATAACTCCATCCAGCCTCAGAGCCAGCAGCACAGAGAACAACAACAAGGAGGCATAAATGAGGAATTTGCTGCAGGGCAGACAAACACACAGCATAATGAGATGACATTCAGGTAACCAGCACTGCCAACTATGTAATTAAAGAGCACACATGCTACATTTTGCTAGTATTTTATTTTTTCCACCAGGTCCACTTAAAATGTTTATTTGGGTGTTTGTACCAAAACAGCTGTAAATCGCCTCTCCATTATCATTTTCCAGCCTTACTTACTGTGGTTAGAATTAAACAGGCTGCTTTTGTTATCATGCCTCCAGGACTGATATACCTAAATGATCTCTGTTGTGATTGGCTGCTCTGTATTGTGCCTCAGTCAAAAATAGTCCAGACTGAAACATCCCTTATAACCTCAGCATGAATGAGCGGAGCTGAACTGCTGTAGGCTGAATATGTAGATATGTAAATGACCGTGACATCATTAAAATTAATGACAATAAATTAAAAAAGGTCTTTTTTTTTGCAGTTTCCATATAATGACTGTATGAACTGAAAAGCGGGAGGTACATTTAGAAACTCAAAACACTGTTAACAGAACCTACATCATCAAACTCTTTTATATCAAAACAACAACATTTCTGTTTTCCATTATATGGGCCCTTAAAACTACCCTTGTGTCTGAGACATTTAAAACATTGTACACAGTTAAAATCCACTCAGCTGATAATTATAATGTAGTAAAACCTTCAACATCAAGATCAGCCTGTATAGAGAAGAGAATACGGTGATATTAAAAAGGTGTGTCAACCGTATCTTAACGCTTAACTTACAGTTAAAATATACATAGCTATATATTTAAATTAATTTCTTTTATGAGGTTCCATCAAGACTTTTTTGTTGTCGTGTCACAAAACGTTGTCATATTTAAAGTAAAATCACTCTAATACAAAATATTTATCTGGGAGACACCCGAGCTCAGCCAACAGAAAGTGAAATCTAGTTAGCCGTATTAGCTTTCAGGCCAACTTTCTTCAGCAGTCTGCCTTAAACAAGAGGTTTTACTCACCTGACATTAAAATCCTGGAACAGCCCTCTAAGATTCATGATAAAATAAAATAACTGCGTGTATTAAATCATTACCGCTAAACAAATAACCACTTAACTAACACCAAATCCATCTGGTTTGGGACCCAGTAGGAATGTTTGTAAATGCTACACTACCGTTTCCGCTGTGATAACGCAGATGAAACCACTGCCAAGTTAAAAGCCTCGCCGTGTTGTTAACAACAGAAGTGGACTCGCCCTACGCCCTACATAGTGCACTGCGTAGGTCATAAAACTGTGACTCCTACACCTAAATAGTGCACTAAATATTATCTGGAGGGTCGTGCAGCTTGTGGCTGAATTTAAACGCATTTTGTTCACTGTTTAAGTGTAGGAGGTCTTTATTTCTTGATCTACGTAGTGCACTACGTAGGGAGTAGGGAGCCATTTGGGATTCAGCCAAAGAAAAAGACAGAATGAAAATTCTGTGGGCTTTTCTGTTCGTATGGTGGCAATAACTTATTTTAGCAAATGAGTTGCCACTAGATTTAATACATGATTAATAAATAACAAGGCACCCTGGTTTGAGTAATTATTTGTGATTTATTACTTGTAATCAGGAGGAAAAAACAGTAATTCCAAATTAAGTTCATACACAATTACAAAATATTACAAGGAAAAGTAAACCGATAAGCTATATCTCCCAAAATAGTAATGTAACCTCACGTAAACACTGGGATCAATTAAAACTTGGTCAAAAGCTGTTTCGAATGTGACATCAGTGCAACATACACCACATTTGGTTTTGCAGCATACATTGCTGAAAGGTAAACTATACAATAAAAATGTGATTCAGTAATATTTTTATTAAAAAAATCTCCAGTAAATCCAACATCAACATAAATAGGGTATTGCAAATGAGCATTACACTGAGACACTTGCACAGATACAATGTAAATGACATCAATATGCGTTACATATTTGCTACACAAGACACAAAAGAAAGTTTTGTGCACACTAGAACACCTGTGACCTTAAGTGCCCTCAAGCAAACAAATACAAGTAGAAATTCTTCTTGGCCTTTTATATGGATTGTCACTGTTCCACATTCATACACACAGACTGGGAAAGTGAATTATGGTTGATATTTCCATATAACATACTGCCATGAAAGAGACTTATGCGCTCAAAAAATTTAAAAAGAAAAGGTCCACATTCTGGTGGTCTACGGCTGTTGTAATATTATAAAAGGTAAAGCACACATGTATATGTGTCTATGGGGACTGGACAAAATGCACTGCACTTTGAGTAAATATATTCCATTAAACAACTTGTTCTCCTTCATACAAAACTTGGCTATTTCTGATGAGGAATACCTCAATCAACTCTTGGGAAAACAAAGCTCCAAAGACCCTAGTTTCTCCCAAACCTTTTAATGACTTCAGAATAATTAATTGAAGATGCTCCAATTAATGTGCACAAAACAGAACTTACTGCTTACAGGTTCATTCAGTAACATATTAAATACTGTCCACAATGTGCCATAAAATCAAAACAAACCCTCTTCTCTTTTTACAGAGGTGTAAAGACTGTCATTTTCATGCTCTTAATAGTTAACAACATTTTAAAAGCTAAAACAATGTGCTCAAAGCTTTATGAATAGCAAAAGCTGTCCTTGACTTTTGGTATTCTAATTTTGATGGTGCAAGTACTGTCAGACAGAGCAACAAGCAGCATAAAAGGAAGTCATTCATATGAAGAAAACCATTAAATCATACAAAACACAGCTTTAAGGTGGGTCTGAAACTACATTTGACACTAGGGGAGAGCAAGTGTGGCTCTCAGTGGACCAGCTCCAGCTGGCTGGCAGAGAAGGGCAGCACACCGCTCACATAGTAAGCGATGCCTAGAGAGAGTAAAGCGATGACCACTAAGAGCAGGAGAACCCTCCAGAAACCAAGGTCCTCCACGAACTCCTGCCAGGTGGAGCGGAAGCTGGACAGCACACCCTCACTGTTCTGCAGGTTGGGATTCAGCAGCGAGTGGCTCTCCATTGCACTAGGAATCAGGGATCAGTGTTAACTCATGGATATTGAATACAAGTACAATGCAGTATGGAATGAACAGAAAATATTCTCATTGTACAAGTACAAATAAGTTTTGTAACTTCTTGAAAACAATGCTTAGTGTCAGAAATGCATAAAATTAATCATATAATATTATTAATCCCAGGGGTGTAACAATACACTCAACTCACATTACAAAACTGGGTTCACAATTAGGCCTATTACAATCATGAAATTTTAGTATTTTTAATAAAACTGTGATCACCAATTTAGTTGTCTTTAGTTGTTCACTGTACAATATTAAAGTATAGGCAAAAGTGGCCAAATTTGCTGACCAATAGAAACAGCTCGAGCTCTAATACACAAACATTACTCACTGCTGCCCTCTATATGTGTTATAGCACTAATCAAAAGCCAGAGCAGGTTTTGTAAGACCCACAACGTTTCAATACATCTGACTTCTTTTTTTTAGATGCACTTGCCTCAATGCAACTGATGAAAAGGCATCCAATTCACATTTTGTTTTCTGAAATATATTATTGTGAAAGCTAACAAATGTGCAATTATTCTGAATGAAGAAAAATTATGACTGCAGTTGCACAACTTCCTAATAAGGATGAAACTGGGAATGGCACAGGACACTGATAGAGGCGGTCAGGGTTAGGAACGTGATTGTGGTGTTAAGACGCTGAACTTGCTGGTGTTGATGAAGTTCCAAGCATGATGTGGGACATTGAATGTGCTGTAGTGAGCTGACTGCAACCTTGCGACCACGTTCAAACGATGCTACTGTATTAAACAGCACAAGTAATATAATGCAGCGCATATCACCCATAAAGGCAACTGAGCATTGTCACATTTTTACCTTGCAATGTTTGGTGGCAAACTGTCTTGTTACAGCACTACAATGCAGTATACTACAGTAGTTTTACATTGTAACTATCAGGTAGCCCACCAAGAAGACACAAACTGGAATGTAGCATGGTGTGGAGGTCTTGTTAGCAGATTACTTGCTTCTAGCTCTAAAAAGTGCAGCTTTGTCCGAATACTGCACAAAGTAAGCCAGATGAAAGTGGCAACATCCTACGTTCGTCCCACTCACCTCTCACTCTCAGCCATCTGCATGGTCTCCAGTTTGGAATGGGCGCCTCTGTTAAAGCCTTTCACCTCCTGCTCCTCAAGGCCCTCCAGCAGTCGAATAGCATCTTTATTCACCCCTCGCCGCTTGGCCAGCACCAGAGGAGTCGATCCATTATGGTTACTATTTAAACACAAGCACACAGTCAAATGGTGACTTTAATTCATGGTGGATCTACTGAAATAGACATACTAATTTATTGATGAGCTGTGGTCATTTAACTTACTTTACTTATTTGACCACAATGCCTGCTTTAAGCTGACACTTTTAAAGGCATCTAAAAAGTTCTGAGTAACTCACCAGATGTCTATTTTGAGGCCATTGGAGACAAGGAACTGAATGGTGTCCACATGTCCACACAGGTGCAGAGCAGTGTTGCCTTGGTAATCTGTGGCTAGCAGATCTGCCCCAAACTTGTGCAGGAAGCGACAGATCTCCACATTGCCACGAGCTGCTGCTAAGTGGAGGCCGGTGCGGCCCCGGTTATCACGGATATTGGGGTCGCAGCCTGTCTCCAGGAGGCGCTTTGCAAATGCTAGGTCCCCATCAATGCAGGCCTGCAGTAACGGTACACTGGTTTGCGATGAATCATTGATGAAGACATATGACATGTCCGAGTGGGTCTCTGAAAATTCCAGCGTACCTAGCAAAGGTCAGGAAAATGACATGGGTCAGTAAAAACTAGAGCAGGTTAGGTATTCTTAACAACAAATGTCATTCCATTCCAAGGAGAATGATCTAAGTTTGTGCAAAGTCTGTTTACCTGTAGCTCTAATAAACTCATACGTAACAATAACATGACTGCTTAATCAAAAAGACATTCAAGACACCTCAAGACCCCGTATTCTAAGGGTGTCACGTACATTAAAATTCATTTTTTCATTGTAGAGTCCACCTCTGCTCGGCCACAGGATGCCACAGTTGGCTGGGACTGATTGAGCCAAAAAAACACCATTTTGAAAAATACCAAAAAATATGTAAATACAAAAATAAATGTTGAATTTACATTAGAATTTTTGTTACATTAGAATTTTTTAATGCTGTATTGAAAATGCATTGCAACACAAAATGGCAATACATATCGTACGGTGAAATTTGCATATCATTACACCCCTACTGTTTTCTACATACCGTACACATAAAGCATACTCTGTAACTGCGTAAATGGAAATAAATAAATCTGCATTGTTTAAGGAAACCCCTTATTTAGAGCTTGATCTTTGGTCTAACTCTATTCTTTTAACACCCTTACAGGGCTCATATCATGGTAAACTACCAGGCTAAAGCCGTTTAGCCCTCCCATACATGCTGAAGTTCAAAGGAGTGTTTCAGCCACTTATTCATCAACGTTGAGTAAAAAGGACACATATTTGACCACTTTTAATGACATACGAACTACTCTGCGTCTGATTCATGAAACCTTTGTAACTACGATGTGGAAACAAGCGCGCCTACAAGACGTGCGCGAGATCGTACAGACACGCCCAAGATGAAATCGATGAATCACAAAACCGTTGAAGAAATTTGCACGCGCTGCTTTTACGATCAGATTCGACGGTGCGCTACTTTGATGAATAACCGCCATTTTCTGCAACGCAAATAGTTATTTGGGGACTATTTTGCCTTGTAACGCGCTGCATGTACCTCTCTACCACGAGTAGCTTAAACAAACACTTTTAGAAAAAACTTGTCATGTTTTCTGGCATCAGCCAAAATATCCGTAACCATTCCATGCAGTGACATCATGTGATGTAGTTTACAGATTCATAAAATTCCTCAGATATCTAACAGTAGCTCCTATTAGCACCACTGTGAATGACGTGGTTTACATCTTAGCCAATTGATTACGCATTAGTTTTTTAAAAAGCTGAAATTTAAAGGTACAGTAACCAAAACAACTTGTGTAAGATAAATTGATAAAAAGAGGCGGAAAAAAACTTGTTTTTAATGTATATAAGTTAAATCACAAACATCATAAAGATCATCAGGAAAAAGTGAACAAAATACAAGAAAATTTAGTATAGGGGCCCTTTAAGACCACCAGATTAGGGTAAGACATCTGTTCACTAGCACATGAAACTAAATTCATTAATCTCAGTCTTTTAAATCAGCAAAACATGAAATGAAATGAAGCGATGTGGGCAGAGAAATGAGGAATATTATCTGCACTCAGCTCATCATTAGGTTAGCACCTTTAGCTAACCTAGTTAGCTACTTCTGTGACCTGCCCGCAGTCAGCTGTCTTAGCTGTTAAGAGTGCTCGTTTCAAGGTGTAGCTGTTCTGAATTATTGGGAAATTTCTAGGTTATTTTGTGAAGACAGTAATTAAAGGTTCCGTCCTAAAACATCCCTCACTAACGCTACTTTACAAACCAGCATCAGGGAGCTGCACATCCTTCAGTCCCTGAACAGCTCAGCAGGTTTGAGCAGCGTTAACGACACCGAAGACAACAGGCGGACTTTCTAGACGACTGTCAGTCGCAATGCATACTTAGCCACTAGTGCTGAGATGCACAGCTGCACGTCTTTACCTGTTTCAATGAACCAAATCAGATGAGAAAATGTTATTTCGCAGCCGGTCTGTCGCAAGAGGGTTGTTTATATTAGCGCTACAGCTGCTGCAGTACCTGCTAACTAAAGCGTCACACCGCCATCTACCGTTCTGGAGGCTCATCAGCCCAAACAGAAGCTCTTCATAAGGAAGAGGCTGAAAAAATGCAGGGGAAAAAAAGTCCCGTTCTTTGTAAGTAAGAATTTTAACTATATAACGTTTTACCTAGTGATGTAAACTAAAATATGGGACTTTTTTCCAAGTATGACTTTTACATAACATACACATGGATCTTAGTCAATGTTGTCACCACTAATCGCTACTGCTACTGCTACTAATAATCATAACAATGAATAACCAGCTGCAGTGTTTAGTGGGTGAAGCAAAAATGTACCAATCAAATGAAAATATTTTGTTGCAGAAAAAAACTAAAAACAAAAGATTTGCATGCTGGATTTGATTAAGTTGTCAGTATGAAGTTGTCAAGCCCAGTGATTTGAGACCCCTACTTAGAAAACATTTTCAAGACTTGTAAATGACAGCTGAACGTGGGATCAGTTTCAATACTTTAATTTCAATACTTTATTTAATGGGGAACATAATTATTACACATTGGAACCATTCTGGTAAAGCATTTGCAGTAATACTGGTAATGCGTCTGTCCAGCTATGTGATATGACTAAATGTATATAGTAAACTTTAAACAATTACACAATAAAACAAAAAATCCTCTTAAGCTGTTAAATTGTACATCAGCGGGCATCAGTGTAAGACAAGATGCAAATACTCCTGTTGTAATATACATACATAGGTGTATATATGCCTTTACAAACAACCCTTAAAAATAAGCTGAATGCTAGAAACATTCTAGTTTTTATTATTCTAAAAAATGTACAAGTAAAAAAAAAAGATTTTCTTTCCTGTCATACGATGAAGCAACTAAACAGCAACCTATCTGTTTACAAACAAACATTACAAATAGAAAGCATGTACTCAAGGCTACCAAAGAGAGGTTAAGAGGCTTAGTGGCTATAGTGGTTACATATCACTATGTCTCTTTAAGAGACTCAAAACTCAAACTCAATCTAGTAAAAGCTGAGATAAAAGACATTCCTCATACTTTCAGTATTGGAAAGGGGTGAACATCTAATGTCTTTTCTTTCTGACCAGCGGAAGGAATAATGATGACAATGAATATGAAAACAGCATTGTTCACGTGTCTGCAGAGAATGAGATGTTTTTCAGTGTTTTCAGGCAAAAGGGAAGAAAGAGTATTTATTATGATGACATTTGGTAAAGATACCTGTTAGAGGTAAAAAGTGGGAGTGGATTATCTACAGCTGCTGAATATCTAGCCCAGATCCCTCTGTTTTGAAATGGGTGATCTGTGTGTCTGAACCATATTGAGGAACTTTATTACATTTTGAACCCAGATATGAACGTCAGTGCAATACTTCAAAGATACACATGTTTGGGGTTAGAAAGAGTCGTGATTTCATGTGTTACCGACTAAGCACAATATCACTTACAAAAGTGTTTATTATAATTCAAGTGAATTATAATTCTAAACAAGAGAAAAGGGGTTTGTGCCAATGTCAGGGAAGCATCAAAATACCTACTAAATTAAGGCCCCATCTACATCTGGTCATATCTGGACTGTATCCTGAGATTTGTTAAGATTTTAAGAAAATGCATTTAAACTTTTTAAACTAAAATAATTGCATCTCCAGTTAGTTTGAGTAAAATTCATTCTTTATGGCACGTAATATGCAAATCGCTCAACATAACAACCAATTATCTGTGTTGTTCTTCGTTTCCAGTTTTTCCTGTTCTATGCGAAAGTTGGTTGCTGAGTCGGAAATTGCACAACTAGGGCTCTGTCCATTTCCTGTGCACCTACCATGTATGTCCTTCATGATTAGCCTTCTGTTCAAGTCATCACAGTCATGGACCACTTGCATTATGATGTAATGAATTTGTGGTTGTCATATGTGGCTTGGTGAGACAAATGTATTGGCTAACACCTCCTGAAGTGGTTTGTTGGAACTAGATTTAAATCTGTTTTAAATGTGTGTTTGGATTTACAGCAGCGTTTTTATGTGTATAATATATATCTATAGATATAATCCTGATACCTTAGATACACTAAACGACCAGGTGCAAATGGGGTCTAAGTTTGTAACCAGTTGAATCAGAGGAGTTACGTATGGCTGCAGTCGCACATTAATGATTCAGTGCTGCCCATCGCAGATTTGGGACACACTCTCTGAGGTAGCCATGAATACGCAAGACAAAAACCGTGACAAGAAATTCAAATACAAATAAAATAAACATTTTTCTGTAGCACCAGTGTTGATAAATGAGGGGAGAGAAGTCAAACCTCTTCCCTTTGCAACTTCTATCAGCAGGGCCTCTACCTGCGCTCGATAGCTTTGTAGGAAGCTCCAAGAGAGGGGCTGAATAAAGTCAGTCAGTCAGTCAACATTTACATCCTGTCTCTCCGATGCTCTCCTCTTCTCAACTCTCTCTCTCTAGTCTCTTCTTCCACTCCTTCTGTGAAAGTCCCTCTCTCCAGCCTGTTCAGGCTACAGGATCTTCATGCAGACCTGACAGCGGCTGATGCGGTCGCGGTACTTTTCTCCCTTCAGCGTCTCCGACTCCGGACTTTGCACGAACTGCCTGTCCCGCTCCACAGTGGTCAGCCAGAAACTGTGCTTGTTGTTGAAGAAGAAGCATGTGCCGCGGGCCCCGTTGCATTCAATAAAGGGCGTGGCACGGAAATCCTCCAAGCAGGAGCCGGGAGACACCAGAGACTGACCACCTCCCTCTGCCCCTGCAGCCGTGTGCTGACCACAGGAAAGACACACTGTTAGACTAATAATAATAATAATGATAATAATAATATGTTTATTTATACAGCACTTTTTGTTTTAGTTACAAAATTTCAAAGTGCTTTACACAGGAAGACAATCAAAACACTGGAAGGATAAAGTAACTCAAATAATATTTAATATGTAACCACTTGCATATTCAAATATAATAAACTGTCTATTGTGGCTCCAGAGATGCAGGGGAGCTTTATACTCCTCTAGCTGGGGGCTTTATACTTCTCCAGGTGACACTTGGCATTGAGCATGGTGACATTAGCCTCACTTGAAGCTGCTCCAGAGCACTGCAATCTACTGGCAATGACTTCAATGGAGATTTTGCAATCTGTGTATATGCTATTGGAGGCCTCTGCCAACAATGGGTGCAGCTGAATTAGCTGAATTCACTAATCAGAACGGGTGACTGAATTTTTTTGGACATACAGTGTATGTGCCTGTGAAAGAGAGTGGGGGAGTCTTTGTCTCACCATTAGGAAAGAGTATCCGATCCACAGGCTCCTCCACCCATTCGGGCAGGGGGGTATGCTGGAGTCTTGGCTGTGGATGGCAACTGCCTGAGAAGGAGCTTCACACACTGAACAGCGACTGATGTAGTTAGTGATCTGCTGCTCTGCCACAGGCATCATGGGAATGGGTGCTGTGGTGGACAGCCAGTAGGACTTGTCGTTGCGGCTGGCGTAGTAACAGAGCTCACTGCTGGTGCAGTAGAGGAAGGGGATGGTGTTGAAACGAGGCAGACAAGAACCAGCCAATCCTAAAAGAGCAGAGAGGAAGTAAAAGGCAAGCAAAGAAAAAAAAAGAGAAGATGAGAAAAATGATTTAAAAAACAGTGTAGATGGTCATGAATAGAAAATGATAAGCACTGACCTAAGCACATTATTTATAAACACTAATATTCTCTATATTGTAATACTACAGACTGAACACCTCTGAGCTGTGCGGTATGATCACATTATTGGTAATAGTAGTTTGCAATTATCTTCATATTGTCTTAGTTAAACATAGTATTATTCTGTCAATACCCAGCCTAAAACAATGCAAACACTCTGGGTCAAATTAAAGTTTTGTTGATTTTCTAGGTAAAAACCACATCCTGTATAAGGAACAAACTTAAATACTTTCTGTAAAGTTGAGTGTACAATGTCTAGTTATTTTTTAGTTATATTTAGTTATATTTTACATTTTATTTTATAAAAAAATAAAATGTAAAATATAAACTTTGCCATAACTTTTGTCTGACCCCAGTGTATGTTTCATTTTCTCCCATATGTTAAATTCAGCAAATAAACAGTAACTATGCATTAAAATGTGCAGAAGCGTGGCACCCAAACATTTGCATAGGACTGTATATAATTACATGCACATGATTAAAAATCTTATTACTAACTACTTTAAATAATATGTGAATTTTCACTGCTGGTCAAACACATTTTTCAATAGTGTTCTTTCAGTTTCTTGTAACTGTCTTGTGAATGAAGTAAACTGTTTTACTGTTCTTAATATATGTACAGTATGTAGTTCTCTTGTTGCTGCTCTAACTTTGCAATGCTGTTTAAGATTAATAATGACTCTTTCTACTGTATCTACAGTAGGTTGCATGTGTTTGATGGCGATACTTTACATTACACTGCATTGTCTTACCCAGATCCTGGTTATGGGCCTTCTCCTGTCCCTCTACATAAAGCAGACTGTATCCCTCCCATAGCTTGGCCATGCCCTGAGGGCACATGGGCACCTGAACCGATTGGCTGTGCTTCACCAGAGTGTAGCCAATCCCAATGCTGCGTCCAGGGAGACCTGGACGACCTGGTAAGCCAGGTTTACCAGGAAATCCTGAAAAATAGCAAAGGGTGGTGGGAGAGAAAGTAAAGGAACAGAGGACATGATTAGTAAAGGAACAGAGGACGTCAGTAGGAGCAGAGGAAGAATAAAACGATACAGTAAAACAAAACCACAAGTAAGATGGTAGAAAGTATAAAATGGGGAATAGTGGTAGCTGTATCACCTTTTATTGGGACTAATGTGTCTAGAAATTCTTTTTTGACTTGAAACTATTATAATATAGACTGATCACACACCATATAGTAGTTGGATTACCTGTCAAAATAACTTTTGTATTGAGACATTTGCTTACAAACCACAGTGTATGGAAGGGCAAATGAGTCACAATTTATACACCTTATCAAACCTACTTAACTAAATCTACTACACAAATTATCCCTGAAAATTAATTTGTTATACTTTATTGATCCTACAAGGGAAATATGTCATTCTGCTGCCTAACTATGCCAAGTAAGGGAGCAGCAGCACAGTGCTGCCTGGGGCAGTGGGGAGGTTAAGTGCCTTGCCAAAGGGCACAACCAGGAAAACCCTGGCAGTCCTGGGATTTGAACCCTCAATCTTCTGGTTGGTGGCCCACCTCTCCTACCTAGACACTAATCTTGTACCTTTTTCGAAAGTACACATAGATATCCTTTAAACAACACCCTCCCATCACTCCTAGTTTACCTGGATAACCGTCAAGTCCTTGGAATCCAGGGGTTCCAGGGTCTCCGATGAATCCCGGAACTCCAGCAGAACCTGGGCGCCCAGGTTTCCCCACTGATCCAACCGTTCCTTTAGAACCTACACATTTAAACCATTTTTATATAGATGATGCCATGAAGTAAACAAACTTTTTTCAATTTAATCCAAATAATGTCCTTTAAAAAGCTAATGGACTGTTTGCAAAATAAAAACTGACACTTCTCTCGTCTCTAAGTGAAGAAGTAAGTTTGAAGTAAGCACATAAACGTGCATACACATTGATGCCTGAAAGCCAATGAGAAAAGAAGTGACAAAACTCTGAGAGCCGGACCAGCTTAGTGTACAATAAGTATCAGACAGCCTGTGTACCACTGTGGTTGGAACGTCTAAGACTAAGACTTAATGTCAAGTAAATATTCATATATATTTGTGTTATTTTTAATTTGCTACAAAAACACAAACAAAGTCATGGAACAAATTGTTTTTAAGCAAAAAAAGCAACTCAGCATTGATCCTTTTTAACACATGGACAATTATAAACATGATGGACTATAACGCAGAGCTCACCTTGACGTCCTGGTGAGCCAGGCTCGCCTGGTGATCCTTTCGAACCAGAAGGACCAGTAATTCCTTGTGGGCCAGGATCACCTGTCGGTGCATCCACAAGTTGTGGTCCAATTACAATCCCAGGAAGTCCGGGACTGCCAGGCTTACCTAAGAGAGAGAGAAATGCAGAGAAAGAGAGAACAGAGGGTTAAAGGGCACTGAGTTCAATAATGTAAACAGAAGACAAAATAACCATATTTTATTGTAAAACATTATGCTCTTTACATACAAAATTCTAACATAATTTTAGTATTTCAATCTCTAAGTCGAACTGCTTATTTTCTGACCTGTTGGTCCTTTTGGTCCTCTGTTACCATAACTTCCTGGATCTCCAAAATAGCCTTGAGGTCCTGGTATCCCACCAACTCCAGGGTCACCTCTCAATCCTGAGGGAGAAAAAGGGCACAAAAAATAAGAGACAGATAAAGACACACAGAGAATACATGGGCATATGCACAAAGTGGGTCAACTCAATTTCAGACAATCAGAAGGCTTATCATATTATTTATGTGCTTTGTTAAGGGCGGACAAAGCACAATGCTTTTGTACTTGAGTAAAGTAGATGTACTCTTGGTAAAATATTACTTGAGTAAAGTGAAAAATATTGTACATTTATTTTTACTTGAGTAAAAGTATAAATATACTTGTTTCTGAATTTCTTTGAGTTATATTATTATTTTGATGAAGAAGTTCTATTAAGGTGACCTGAACAAGTTTTTCATGTCTGCATTCCTACAGGTCTCCTTAACACTCTTGGGTCTCAGGGCATTTTCTAGATTTTGGCATATATTCTTAAATGTGCCTTTACAGACACTTGCATATGACGTAATATCCACATATTATATATTAAAATGTTCAAACAATCTCAGCTCCCTCTATAATGAGGCCATTTTGACCTGGAACACTGTGTAAATTGATAATTCAGCCCTAAAGCTGAAAAACTGAAGTTCAGTTTTAGAGATTCTTAATATCTCTTGTGAAAACATAGCTTTACTCATGTGGACAAATTGTGTTGGTGCTTGAAATATGTTTACCAAATTCCTAGGTTCAGAAAAGTAGAGGAATGTATGAATAAGATAGTAAATAAGTGTTTTCCTCATCTCTACTTTCAAAAACCACTGCAGCAACTTCGGCAGCTGCATACTTTTTACACACAATTTCCTGTCTGTTCGAGGTGACTGTATAAAAAATAAAAGGTTTCTGACATGATGATTTCCCTAGTCCCTAGTGAGTGTCTATTAGTCAGTTTAACGTAAAATATAAACAGACACATGAATTTATAAATTACAGGCGAGAGGCAGACAGCATGTATTTTAGCTTGTCTACATTGGCTCGTAACTCCGGACCTGAGTCACGTACAATCTTGCTATAAAATGGAATTGAAAGGGCAGACTCTACAGGTTCATGGTTCAAACCATATTTCTGCACTGTATTATCACAAAGGTATTAATAGAAACAGTTAATTTGACGGACTGGCATGTTTGTCAACCTCAGAGGATTAATAACGTAAAAGATCTATTTTAAAGCACCTTTAAGTCCCAGGCTGCCTGGTATTCCACGTCCTCCTGGGAATCCAGGATCACCACGGTTCCCAGGACGTCCAGGGAATCCAGGAATCCCTGAATCTCCTCTGTCTCCCTGTATTGTTCCAGGGCCCGCCGGACCAGGAGGACCAGGGGGGCCAGTAAGACCTATAAAAGAGAAAGACAAATTTTACAACTTAAACAACATCTGGGAGTGTGATTTCCTCATATCTATGTTTCAGCTGACTGAGTGAATAGAGAAAATAATATGGAACGGACTGGCATTTTGCAAGAAAAGGTGAGTATTAATTTGAATTTAATCCTTTTCGTTTCTTCTGGTGGTAAAGCTCAAGTGGATGATTTCGGTAAAGTGGAGAGTCATGAAAAAAACAGCAGAGGTGGTGTTGTGGCGTACCTCGTCCACCATCCAGTCCAGGCAGACCAGGATCTCCGACTGGACCTGGGATATTAGACGAAGTTGTTGGCCCACGAGGGCCTGGAGGACCTGGGGAACCTGGCTGACCAGGAGCACCTAACAAAGACCATGACAACAACATCAACATACTGTCTCAAAGTACACAGTCAGAAATCATGTCTATATAACAGACAGACTAAAAGCTATAATCTTAAAAAAGATGGTTCTACAAGGGTTCTTTAGTGAAGACTATGGTCCTATATAGAACTTTGATCTCTTATGGTGAAATGGTTCTTCAGATTAAACCTTTTTGAAAATAGCAAAAGGTTCTATACAGAACCATATACAACCCCATTTCCAAAAAAGTTGGGGCGCTGTGCAAAATATAAATAAAAATAGAATGCAACGATTTGCAAATCATTTAAACCATTTTTAAAGGAAAATACTACAAAGACAATATATCAAATGTTGAAACTGAGAAATTTTATTGTTTTTTGAAAAATATATGCCCAGTTTGAATTTGATGCCAACAACACATTCCAAAAAAGCTGGGCATGTTTACCACTGTGTTTCATCACCTCTTCTAACAACACCCCGTAAGTGTTTAGGGAATGAGGAGACCGAACACTGTAGTTTTGAAAGTGAAATGTTTTCCTGTTTTTGTTTGATATAGAATTTCAGCTGCTCAACAGTATCGGTATAGGTCATTATTTCTCTAACTTAGCCGATCCTGAGAGCTGATCAGTGATGTTATATGGGCTGTATTTCGCCTCAGGCATCAGAATGTAACTGCTACACCACTGAAGGTGGAACGGGAAAACTTGAACAAGAACCTGGCAAATAGGGAACTTTGGCCTTGTCATATCTATTTTACTAATGAAAAACATTTTTTCCTGAAATTAGTGGTAATCCTAGTTTAGCTTATACTGCACTAGCTTCATGACTTATGGCTTTGGCAGAGATAATAAAAATAAGGTGTAAAACTGCAAAAGTGGCCATATACCTTCTGGCCTTTTCAGTACAATTAAAAACCCATCTGTAAAACAGGAGGACTGTTTTGTTCTGTTAGCTGTGCTGGCTGCATAGTCTCCAGTTATTTCAATGGTCATGGTAGTCTGAGGCACCAAAATGTAATTGCTGCACCATTTAAAGGAACAAGAAAATTCAAACAAGGAGCTGGCGAAAAAGAAGCTGATTTCAGCTTCATTCAGAGTTGAAAGGCATGAAAAGAAATGAGAGGTTAACATTAACTTATTTTTGCTGTTCTACAGAACCAATAGGTCAGTATTGTTTTGTCCTCTGCTAATGTTTGAGATAGCTAATCCCAATTAGTTAGCTTGGCAGCACCAATTGTTATGATACTTTGCTAAACCACAATCTATCTAACGTTAGCTACATTGCTTGCTGTGCTGTTTTGCATACATTTAGATCTTCAAGGTTTTAATGCCTTGAAGATCTAAAAAAGTGTTGCTCGCTTAGGCAATGCACGTCCATGAATGTGGGGGGGTGGGTGCACAGCTTCTAAAGAAGCACCAAAAAGGTGTGGTGTATTTGTTTTGGTGATGAATTCAAAAACAACAATTGTTTTGCAGAATCACCTACTGCACCTTTTAATATGGGGCCTCCAGCCCCACCCTTGAAGGGTATCGGCTATAGGCCACTCACGTTAAAAGGCGATTGGTATCACCCCCAAAAACACTGATCGGTCCATCTCTACAAGCAACACAATTTCTATTGCGTCAGTGATTGTAATGTCACTACAAAAATTTAAACTGTAATTAAATTAAATGAAACTAAATTACTCTGTTACAGGAAAAACTAATCACATTACTTAACACATTAATCAGTCTACAGATTACTTTACAACTGAGGGAAGTGAATGATGATTTAGGCATGCAGCTTAAACAGTGCTTAACTGGTGACTATAAGCTTTTATTACTTGTTATCTACATTAGCCAGACACCAAACGTGTCTTGGTTGGTCAACTACAGTTGGGGCAAGAGGAAAACTGAAGCATTGCTTTAAATGGACCACATTATCCTCAACATTCTCCTTACACATTAATCATTAGCTAAAATACATAATGAACAAGATTTCCTTCTTGTACTTACCGCCCTCTCCTTTGTTCCCCTTTGGTCCAGGGAATCCTGGCTGTCCTGGCCGTGATGAGCCTCTTTCCCCTTTCAGACCATTCATTCCAGGGGCTCCTGGCCGACTGCCCTCCGTCACCCCTACAGACAGGTTAAAGAATATCCCTTTGAATCCCAGTATAATTTATTACTGTTCAAAGATGAAATCAACTGTGTTGATTCAGTTGAAATGTGCCAGTGCTACACTGTCCTTGTAGCTGAAGAGATACTCACCAGGTACTCCTTGTTGACCTTTGGGTCCCTGAAGTCCATTGAGGCCATCTAAACCAGGAGAGCCAGGTAAACCTATAGAGAGGTGTTAGGTAAGGTGTTTTAAAAGTGCTTTTAGTGCACAAACATTAATGTACATCAATTATGTAAAAAGCAGAAGCAGTTAATGTTCAGGGTTAGAATGACCATATGATGCTTAGATATTCCATTACTAGATGATAGAAATGGGAGATTTCTAAAGACAACCTGAAATCAAAACTGTCCTTTTCTATCTGGCTCTGGTTCTATTTAGCACAATTCGTCATATCATTTAAAAGATAAAATTATTGTTGTCCCGTAATCTTTCAAATTATTCTGTTTAAAATGTAATGACTTTTGGCCACATCTACAATCTTTTCTTGACATTTTGTTGGTACAGGTGGGCAATAAGAGAATAATATAATTCATGATAACTCATGATTTTTGCAATACTAATACATATTACAATATTTTGTTTTTCTGAGGTTTAAGAGCTTCCCAATATTCAACTGAGGAGGGCCCATTATGCTCTCTTGACTCCTGCATCACTGGAGTTTGAATTCGACATCTTCTGACGATACAGTGAAACCTCAGACAGCCAAGCCACATGGGAGACCTGGCTAAATCGTTTTTTTTTTTTTTTTTTAATAAAATATGCAGTTGGTCTGTTCTTTAAGTCCTGACAATACCCAAAATATACTTAGAAAAGCTTATCATGGTATCCTGGTCAAATACCGAAAAAAAACCTGTTAAAAATAAGGAGAGCTTAATGACTTTTGTTAACTGATATGAGTGTGGAAACTGTGTGGCCCTTTATTCATTTATTTTTCTTTTTTAATGTGTATGTCTCCCCCACTTTTGCAAGTGTAACTGACCATCACTACTATCATCATTAATATTACTGCTATTGGTCTCTAATAGCAACTATTAACTCTATTAACTCTATATTACCACTAGTGTAAACAATCCTGTGGGCGTATCTTGGGCTTTGTGATTTTAGTTCTTGTGATCTATATGCTTACTTATTAATAAAATATTGATCACAGAAGAAAAACTTACCATGATGCAATTTATATATATATCATATATCACACTGTCATATCGTCACCTATATGCAGTAAAATGAACAGACATGCTGACTGCAATGTTAATAGGGAGAACAAATGCGCTCTGACCAGACTGACCTTTCTCTCCTATTCGGCCAGGACCTCCTGGGCGTCCAGGCTCACCAGTGCGACCCCTCTCTCCTGAGTAACCAGGAAGACCCATGCTGCCAGGGAGTCCAGGCAAACCTGGCAGAAAGCACATGGGAAAATACATGATGTGTGGCACAGATCGGAAGATTCAGCAGATATTATAATAGCTGATTTAAAAAGATTGTGTGTCAAAGATGGAATTTGTGGGTTACCACTGAGTCCTGCCCTTCCTGCATCTCCTGGTAGACCCTTCTGCCCAGGTACCCCTGGAACTCCAGGGAAACCACGAGAACCCAGTTCACCAGCAGCACCTTGGCCCCCTATGAATGAGAGCAATATAGTATAATGTATGCAAGAAAGAGCAAGAGAGATAGAGAAACAGAATATCAACAATGAACAACTGTTTATTGTTTATTACCTTTCATAATTTCATCTAAAATGGAAGGAGTAGACTACAGAAGGTAGCAAAATTTCTTCAGGAGAGAAAAGTATAGCGCAGAACTCACCTGGGAATCCAGGATTTCCCACCAATCCCTTTGCTCCAGGGGGCCCAGGGGCTCCAGTAGCATCACCTTTCTCACCTTTACAACAAATTATATAAGATGATCATTATGTCAGATCCGCTATGATCTGCTAAATGACAATAAACAAGCTACAGAAAACAGCCTAATCTGAAATATGCCTCTGTTTAGGACTGTTTTTGCCAAACATACTTTGCCAAAATATCAACCAGTCACAACCCACCTTTGACACCAGGCTGCCCTGGACTACCAGGCAATCCAGGCAAACCAGTGTCTCCATTATCACCCTGAAAGCACAATAAATTAGATTAAATTAGATTAACCATATTATCACCGCAATGGAAATTTCTCTGGGAAGTGCAACACAAAAACACCAGCACTGATCTTTTAGGCCTAATTCACAAACATGCACTGCAAATATAAAATACAAAAAGTTGTACTGAGTTGTTTGGTGGCTTCTGCTTTTTTTAGAAGATCCTTAACAATGGTCTGAATCTGTTGGACTTTATGCTATTGAATGATTACCATAGTACCATCCTTTAAATGTATTGGTTGCACAGATTAAATAGACTTACCCTGGGTCCAGGCATTCCAGGGAAGCCCAGAACACCAGATGCACCTTTAGTTCCTGGAAAGCCAGAAGAACCTGGACGCCCTGGAAATCCGGCATCGCCAGGGAGACCCTTGACTGGGGAGGCACCTCCGGGCTGACCTGGTAAGCCCTGACGACCAGGCAACCCTGAAAATCCCTTATCACCTGTTAGGAATGACAGCTTTTTAATGTTTCCGCTAAGATATTTTAACAAAAAGCTTACAAGAAAACCTTCCAACTCCATGTTTAACGTTTTGTATTTGAAAACAACTGCTGCTCTTTATGTTGTGTGAACATTTCACAATGATTAAACCAACAGAAAAATTGTAAAGCAAACATTTCACAGTTTTTAAGTTAGTTTAACAGATGTTGAGAATGCTTTCCCCTCTCTTATACAGTTAATGTATTGGAGATAAAAGATTCATTTGAAATAACAACAATACTTTTTAGGGAAATTCAAAGAAAACACTGCAGGAAGACCAAAATGAGATGATTTATTTATACCTCTCACAAAACTATGATAGTCTGGACCATTTATGTTTGATCAATTTGTTACCTATGACTAACATGTTTTGGTCATCAAGTGGTAAAGATTGTTGCAGTACGCAGTTGCAATGCACTATCACCTGTGTATTTCATATAAAATCTTTTCTATTAAGAGATGGCATGGGAGTGTAGTAGCTGTTTTCCTGTACCTCTTGGGCCTGGGAACCCTGGTGGGCCATTTGCTCCAGGATCTCCTTGATCCCCTTTCTTCAGGAGATCAGATGGAACGAATGGAAAGTCAAGCCCTCGTGCACCTGGCTCCCCACGGTCCCCTAAAATACACAGGCACACACAAATACACCAAATCCATTTTGAGCAACTCTATTTGTGTACAGTATAGTCTCGAAAAAAGAATAGCTAGAGTTATACATTTTGCTAATATGTTTTAAGGCTCTTCTGTACCTTTGAATCCCTTCATTCCACGTTCTCCAGATAGACCATCCTGTCCTGGGATTCCTGGCAGACCTTTACGTCCTGGGAGTCCAGCGCCGCCGTCACGTCCTGGAATTCCAGAGAACCCCACCAGCCCCGGCGAACCCTTCTCTCCTGAAAAAATTGAACAGTGCATTGCATGTAAATGACAATAGGACTCGCGTCAACAGATTACTATTTTAAAAAATTCACCATCATAAAAATGAACTCCATCAACTTTTATTGAGCTATGATTTGTACAGCTCTTCGTACCGTAACTACTACAAATTATTCAGTAACTACTATGAAACTAATATGTAAGTTCTCTTTCAAGCATTGGTTCTCATGTCTCATTATGGGATACTCCCTCCCACGTATTACAGCTGTGGGCTGCTTGCGCTCTCTGCCCCAGGTATATAATGCGATGACACAACATCATGTGGTTATTCAAAACCCAGTTCTTGTTTCACTCCAGAAGACGACCTCTATCGTTGAGGAGGCATTGAGGAATTCTTGCGGAGAAAGGAATTGTTACCTCATTTTTCACCAAAATCCAAGTATAAAAGAACGGTTATAAAAGGGCATTTATAAAAGGGCTAAACAAACAAATTAACAACTCTGCCAATCAGCTAATCATATTAGCTTTAGTGTGCATGGTTAGTTAACCAGCTATTCTGTGCACATATTAAACCCACAGAGTGGCCACCACATCATCTTTTTCTCAATGTTGCACAGTTAAGAGGTGTAATTCAGCAAACAGCTGCAGCAATGTAGGGAACACTGAGCAGACAGAGAGCAATATAGCACACAGCAGGTTGCCATGCTTGCAGAATCATCTGCTTCTGTGGCACTAAGCTGGGTTGATCAGTGTGATGCCTATGCTCCTCTACACTCTGCTCGAAGTAGATGAGGCAGAAGAGAGGGAAGATGACGACGGTGGCTTGGAATTTCTTTTTTCTGAGGAAGAGAATGAATTTGAGGACTCTTCATTCCTTCCCTCCGCCCAGATGGCAAAACTCCCCAACACAGGCAAGGCCATCCTCTCCGCTCCTGGGCACTGATCTGCAAGATGTGCTTAAGGACACAATAATGAAACTGGACTTTCAGTGGCCAACTATCATAGCTATGATCACAAAGTCTTACTACGAAGGGAAAAGACTGCCTGGGGCAAAACCAGCAAGATATCCCCACATTTCAAGATCTCCTGTAAGAGGTAACAGAAGGATCAGCCTTTCACATGCAAAACATCCATTCAGAGGAGGTCTGCTCATGCCTTTGAGATAAGGGAAAAGGAAGGCTTTTGGATGGTGGCTCACTCACAAACCTCTCAGCTACAAAGAAACAGGCAATCCTGGACATACCAGTGGTCCCAGGGAGCATCTTTGACGCTGTTCTTATGCTGATGCAAAAGAGATGCGAATAAAAAATACATGGCCATCAAGTCATGGCAATGGAGCATACCATGATGATTATGGAGCACTAGAAAAACTGGATATTAAATTAAACACTGAGAAGAGTGTGCTAATTCCGAGCTAGTGCGTATCATAGTTAAGTTTGTTACCATGTCGTTCAGGTTAAGACTGTCAACAGAGAGAGTGAAGAAGGTCACAAAATGTTTGGACTTGTTTCAGAGAGGCAAATTAAGTTCCACTGTATCCCAGACTACTGGGAATGATGACCTGGGAACGGTCATTAGGCTGCTTGTTCATAATAGATTTTCAGCGCTGAGTAGCCATTTTGAGTGTGCCATTTTTACGAAAGGAGCATGGCGGGCGCTCCCAAGCTACTTTCCCCATCCTAGGATTTTTCCCTGGTGCAGCTGCACCTTTCAAACTGCTAGATCAAGTAGATATTAAACTATTATCAAGCATTTTGATAGCTTTAACATCTGCAAAGTGTCTTGGTGAGATACATGCTTTCTCGCAGCACTCTTCATGCATGCTGTTTGCACTGGGGAACCAAAGTTTGCATCGGGGGACTCACCACAATATTCTGTGGCACAGTGCTAATTTTCAGTATAATGGGCAGGAACAGGTGGTTCCCGAGACTGTTGTGGATGGGAGTAGGACAACATGTTTATGAAAGAACACTGCCCCTTCATTAATAGTTAAAACAAAATAACTATCACTTACTAACTGCGGGAGGAGTTAGGATTGGACTAAAAAAACGTTCCTGCATAGAGCACTACTGGCGCACTCAAAGGTGTCCTTATGACCTAAACCTGCATTTATATCAAAAGTTATCCAGCCTGTTGTCCCTTTGGAGCTCCAGGCATTTCATCCTCCACCTTTTACATTGGCGCTGATCTCAGTATTCATACAACTGATTAGTCATATGAGGTGTGCTCCTGTCTGGTTGGAAGGAAAATCTGCAGCCACACCAGCCCTCTGCAGATAAAATTAGTGACCCCTAGTGTTGATGAAATTAAATATTTCAAACTGATAATTTACAGCAGGTAAATAACAAAATTAGGGTCTACCATTACATCAAGGTAAATAAATGAACGAAACTTATTTACAGTCCCTTCACACATCTCTCTGCATCCCATACTGTGAAAGCAGCCATACTGTCCAGCAAATTAACAGTTCTGATATAGTCACCCTAGTCTGGACCCATGGATGGGTCCTTAGAGTTTAACAGGTTAGGACAGAGACTGGTGAAAGATGTAAGAAGCAAGTTCAGTTGTCAAATCCATGCTGGATATTCTACAGGACACTGGGGTACTACCAATGATGTCTTAGAGATTCAGCATTATAACTTCATACCTTTTAGTGCCGGTCTGCCTGGTATTCCATTACGTGCTGGACCAGGTGCTCCAGGACGCCCCTTTTCTCCTTGGGTTCCAGGAACTCCAGATGGTCCAGCAGCACCTTTCCTTCCTTGAAGGCCCGGTCCTGGATCTCCTTTTTCACCCTTCAGCCCTGGGAAACCTTGGGGATCACCAATGTTAGGTCAAACACACAGCTTGTGGTGTATACAGCGGTAATCTCATATCAATAGCTCTTTCTTTTTATATATTGTAGCTCATACAATACATAGCATATTACGTATATAATAGAAAGCTCTTTAACATTAGGGATAGCATTGTGCTAGTAATAATCAATCACTTACCCCAATTTATAGTTGAGTAGTTTGGAGCAATCTGATTTACAATGTTTACAAAAATGTACAATGGTAATACAGGCGCACTGATTCATCTGGACCATCTACTGACAACATTAAATCATACTGCATTGTCCAGTAACTGATTTGAAATAGTCTCAATCGAATGATATAAGCTATCCATAACAAAAAGTCCACTTTTCCCAAAGCTTCAAAAGGCAATGATCATCCAGATATGCAAAAGAATGCTTAACATCTGGTCTACCAATATTATTTTTGCATTTAGAAAAAAACAGCAGTAATAATAATCACTGCAGAAAGCTACACAAACATCTCCAACACTAAGTATAACGTCAAATCTATCTGTATATAATTTGTCAACACTTTACTTTCATGCACCCTACTGTCATTTTAACTCTTTCATCCTTCCAATCTTAAGCAACTAAACACACCTTAGCTGCCTTTCACATTTTCTTGTTATGTGCTTCAAAAATAGCTAAAGGAGATACTTCAGAGGAGATTAGATGGAAGATAATACACATGTATAAGAAAGGGGAAAGTTAAAGGAAAATAAGTGAAAAACAGGACTTTCAATAACTTCAAAAAATTACTAAAAGATTACAGAGAAAACAGGACTCCTAACAACTGCAAGACCTAGCAGACCACCAAAACTGTCACCATATTTCTGTCCATTCATTCATTGTATGAAGACAATTCTACACCATGAGTCTGAAGGAACGTGCAGCTGTCAAGAAGCTGTTACTAAGAAAAGGAAATAGACAAAAAAGAAGATAATTTGTGGAAAACTGGATATCTGACAGTAAAGTTTCATGGACTGATCAGTCTAAATTTGTAATTGGGATTACTTGGATCGTGAGAAGCAGAAAATGCAACCATCTTCTAAAACTGAACTTGAGAAGTGTGGAAAAATATTCCTGTAGATTAATGGATTCCCATGAACAATGGAAGCACTAATAAAAGGCAAAGGGTGGACATACTAAATACTGAAAACATATATGATATATTTAGCTCTTGAGACTCCTGTGTAATTTTAATTTTTCTGATGATGAAAAATAAATAACTTGGACTTAATGGATGTTGTGACTGGAAATTAAATATATAAAATGGTGGTCCCTGATCTTCGTGCAGTACTTTACACCAAACATTAATATAAGGAATATTTATATTGTTTTGCCTCACAACTGACATTCTTGTTGCATACTATAATATTTCTAGTGGAATTCTCAATCATGACGAGTTATGAGTCAACATTCCATTCAAAATACTGAATATGCACAACCAAATGAGATCTGCAATATTACGCTCTATAATGTCTACAGATGCTGGATACTAGAAGCTTCTGCAGAGGCTCTTTTGGAGACAGATGAGTTATGAGTTAACGTCACACAAGCACATTAGGGTTATAGCAGTATAGCAGATAGATGAAATCTAAATTAGTACTGCTTATTTACATTAGTATGAATTTTAATGCTAGCAACTGACCATCTTTTAAGCAAAACCACACATACCTTTGTACGGACATGCACACATACATACTAATTTAAACACACAATGGACAGTACATATACACATGATTTATACCACACTGAGGATGAGAGATCATACTTGAACGCTTAATAACAAGTGGTAACTTGATGCTAATACATAATTTTAGCTTTCAGTTAAAAGATAAATATATCAACAGCCAAATCTGATTTGTTGGAATGGTATAGAAAGTGGACAGAATCTCTCTCCACAGCATGTTAAAGCATGCTCCCCTTCACTCAGTGCTTTGGTTAGAAGGTCCAGCTGCTCTACTTTCAAAGGAGCCATGAGGGATATTGAGAGGGGAAGGAGTTGTTGGTGTTGTTAGACAAACTTTTAATACTAAAGGGAAGGAAGGTGGGGGTGACAATATTTCTCACCTTGGCAGCCTAGACAGGTGACCCAGCACCAAGAACAGAGGAGCGAGACACCACAAATGGAAGGGATGGGAAGATGAAGATGATGGGGGTGATGACAAACAAAGACAGGAGAGGAGGAGAGGAGAGGAATGAAATGACGTGTCTGTGAGTAAGTAAAAGGGCCCAGTGGAGACTCGGAGAGAACTTACTCACAAAGAAAACAGCATTAGAGAATTTGATTTTAATTATTTAACTTTGCCAGAACATACATCATTCATGATAAATCAATAAGTCTGTCTGTCTGTCTGTCTGTCTGTCTCTCTATCTATCTAGCTAGCTAAGTAGAAAGAAATAATAACACCCTTTTTTATGAAAAAAAAATCTTTGCTGTTTATCAGTGTGATCTAACACTGAAAATATGAGAGAAATCTAACCTTATATTTTGTGCCTAATATGAAAACAAAGTATTCTATACTGCCAAAGTAAACAGATATTTTATTTAATTATTTAAAAACAAAATGTGAGACGGGAAGACCAGAGAATACACAAATGAAACAAAATGTGCTACCTAGCGCCCAAAAGCTATAATCAGATGTCACTTCTGTGCCAACAAACTATTTGTATATCATCGCTGTCCAAAGAAAAACAACCAAAATGGCAGCTTTATAGGATAAGGCACATTCTTTAAGTGAACGTGCTTTACTTTTAATGTATGTTAATGCAAATAGATTTTATTTCAAGCAATTTTGGCACATTTCTATTGGTCTATACATCATTAAATTTTCACTCAATGTTAAGGGCAGCTGATTTTCTCAAATTATGTGAAAAACGAAGAACGACAAAAATGTTTTTTATAGACAGTGGCAATCTATGTGTGTATTAATATATTTGTTAAAAAAAGTTCACCTTACTGAAATTTTAGATTTCCCTCATATTTTCCATGTTTCGTGTTTCACAGCGTCCCTGTCCTGTCACCTCCTGTCTCAACATGTTCATAGTTTTGTAACATCACTTACTGTATAGTCTCTATTGTATTAGAGTCCCTTTGCTGGCTAATTAGCATTTTTCATCCAAACTTCCCCTTTTTCCATATATTTTTGTTTTGTTTTAAGGGTTGTATACGCTTTTTCTAGCACATTCTTATTTTCTGATAAACAACACAGACATTGTTGTGGTCTTTTTTCCTTGTCTTTATCAAAAGTGCAATGGCAAAAGAAATACAAGAAGAGATGCATTAGATAAAATGACTTAGGAGAACAGATTAGACTGTTGAAATGATTTCGGCATGTGATCTGAAACAGTCAATTCTCTTTAAAGGATGATAAGAACAAACGTGGCAACAAAAACAAAAAGGCTAACAGAAAAGAAAGTGTAAGGGATCAAAGACAAAAAATCATTGAACACACTCTTATTTTCTTTCTTACCTAGTGGTCCAGGTAATCCAGGATCGCCAGGTGGCCCTCGAACTGGAACAGTTGGACGGACATAACCCGGTGGGCCTGGCGGTCCTTCTATGCCTGGAAAACCAGCTGCACCTCGTTCACCCTTCACACCTGGGACACCAATGCGCCCATCAAAACCTAAAAGGAAAAAATTACAGATTTATTTTTGACAAAAGATTTATTGACATTTTCAGTTATCCATTTCTGTGATGGCGGTAGTACTTATCCTGTTGAACAATTGTCAGAGTTTGTTTTCATGTTGGAATGGCAACATGCAGAGACAAACTACTTTAGTTGCATCAACCTGCCTTCCTGACTCCCTGGTTGAGTTAACCAAGATAAATGTAGCCCTTAGAAGCCTAAACATTCAATTTACATCACATAATCATGGGTATGTATTTAAATGCTTAACTACCTAAATATGATATTTCATTCCCCAAAAATAGGTTGTGTTTTTAGTCTTTGTTGTCTTATGGCTGTTATTCCTGAGCTAGGCAGCAGCATAAATATTTCTCAAAGTTTTACAAAGTTTATACAATGTTTTTTCTTTTTTTAAACTGTAGCTGCATCATTACGGCTACTGGAAAATCAATAAATAACATTGAACCAATAGAAAACCAAAGCTGTTGGTTTAGGATCTGGCGCTCACTGAGTGCTAGTACCTACGCATTTCAGATATTAAGTAAGGATAGTTTTGAGGTGATGCAAATAAACCTACCAGGTTGGCCTGGTATTCCGGGGGTGCCTTGTTGACCTTTGTCTCCAGGCTCTCCAACTGGCCCTGGAAATCCTTGGATTCCTGGAGAGGCACCTAAAGTCTCACCAGGTTCTCCTTTTGCTCCTGTCAACCCAGGACGACCAGCTTTTCCTGGAATGCCTGGGAAGCCATTGATAGTGGTGCCTGGTAAACCTGGATCTCCTCTTGGTCCAGGGAAGCCTGTGATATCCATTGTACGGAGGTAAATTAATAAAACATCTTTTAAAAATCATACATCACAGTTAGGGATGCACAGATTTTGGGCTGATGGTGATATCTGATATTATTCATGTACATATCTGCCAGTGTCGATACTGATGCATAAGCATTTATTAAATGTAGAATTTGGGACTAAATCTACCTGGATTGGCATTACAGAGAAACGTAATTTCAATGTCTAATATGAAAATGCAGCTATTTTAGCACAGTAACCCAATGTCAAATACACTGTCTCATATTCCAGAGTGAAGTAAATGCATCATTAAATATTAGTTTGAACATTTGATCAAATTCAACATATGTCCAATTTCAATATATTTTATAAGCAATTACCTTCTGATACAGATATGATTTGTTCAAGGAGGCCTTTTGTTAAAAATATTGAATTGAAACACATTTTCTTTTACAGTTAATGTAAAAGTACTTGTGTGTCAGTGTTTGCCCTGGAGAGATGTTGTACAGCAGCTTTTTCAGGCATTAGTGTCAACTGTGACCATACCTTGTGGACCTGGTTGACCTCCAAAGCCTGGACTTCCTCTCTCACCCTTTACGCCATCAAGACCAGGCCGTCCACTTAATCCTGGAGGACCAGGCTGACCCTTTAGGCCTAACACATACATGCACATTTTATTGAAGCTGGGCATAACAAACGCATCTTATTTTTCTTTAAATGCAAATCTGGCTACGAAACATTACCTGGCACTCCTGGCAGTCCAGGAATTCCCGGCTTTCCAGTTTCTCCTGGAATTACGCAGGGCATTGTCTGTCCTGTGGAGATCCATGTCATCATTCACTACATTCAGATATGCTCAAACAGGTGACACCAACCTCAAAACTGACTGTACTAAGGTTAAACTTCATACATGACATGTGAGTCTGTAGTGCACTGAATTACTGTAAGAAATAAATGGTAATTTTACCAGATCTGGAAAACTTTTTTTCCATTTGAGGTTAAAACATGCTAGAGTTAACTGATGATGAAATGAAATTGTATTAGGAATAGTTATGGTTTAATGCAATTTAGTATCATCAAAGATTATGCTCATCATTATTATGCTGAAAAAAATGCCAGCATTAACCAATAGAGAAAAAGAGGAAGAACTTCACACTTTTGTGGACCAGCATTACTAAAATGCTAAACAGAATCCTATACAGCAGTTCTAAGAAAATAAACAAAAAACACAAATAGGATCTTTTAAATGGTTGTGATTAGGCTAAAATACTTCACATTCACAGTCATTTCCTTTCAACTAACAGAAAGAAATGGAATATTAATATGCCTGTAGTCAGGGTTTATCCCCCCTCCTCTGCAGGGCTGATCACATGCGGCACGCTCAGTTAGCTGACTGGCCAATGAGAGCTGATGCACTGTAAGTGGGTGCGCATGTCGTATGAACTGGCGTAAGCTGAAGACACAAAAGGAGCGAGGGCAGAGCGAGTGTACTGAATCAGCTGGCAAGAATATGACCACAACACCTAGTGTCAGACGGACTTGATGAAGCAGAGCAGACCACTCATGCTGTGACATACCCTGTTTTTATTTCCTTTCTTTTCCCTAATGACAGCATTTCCTGCCCACTTGCTGTGGCTCCAGCTCACTCCAGAGTAACCAACAAGCACACTTAGGCTTCCACTGAACCCTCAATAATAGGCAAGAGCTGACTGGGACAGACACAGTGTCTTAAATCGATGGTTTGTTCAAAAAATCAAATTTATGCAATTTTCTGATTACCCCAAATGCAGTTAAAAGCCAGACATGTTTGATCCCTCAAGTTTACGTGTTTAGCATTGCACTGGACGTATGAGGTCGTGAGAGTGAGGAAATAGAGCTTAAACTGTATTGTTCACCCAACTGAGATGCACTGCTAATAAATGTGAGAACCTTCGAACCTAAACTGAATTTGAGTCACATTGAGAAAAACTGCACATCTAGTGGCCTTACAATTTTAAGCATGCAAAACTAAAGAAGCAAACTTCAGACACTAAACATGTCTTTGCTGATCAATTACACTTGGGGTAAAAAGAAAACTGTGTGATTTGTAAGTAGGTGTGGCCAGGCTTGATGTGTCTGATCCAATCAGCACCCTGAAAACTTTCTATTTGCTACAGCTCTGGGCTTCTCACCTCCCTCTCCGAAAGAGGCTTCATTAAGCCCTGCCTGCCCACAGCTGTCACCTAGTCAGACAACATGCAAGGGCAAGAGAGATTGCAAGAGAAGCAGTCAGTCAATCAGTCCATCAATCAATTCATTCGGGCAGCATCATCACATGATTTAAAGCAGAAAGTGTGAAATTGATTATATCATTAGCAGAGAATTAAAACAGCTCATCCAAGTAAATCAGGCACGTTCCTTTAAAGCATAGCAAAAGCAAGAATAAGAGGATACATTTCTGAGTGGTTAAACCATCCAGCCAATCCATTACAGACAGATATGGAGAGTGTGAGTGGAATTTTAGTTGATAGGATTTGTTCATTCAGAATTGTGTTTTTTCTTTATAGGGCCAATTTACAAAAGCTCTCAATTTCTCAGTGAATGGATTAACCATCAAGCAGAATACGTATAAATGTTAGCACAGGCAAAATGAACAACAAGAAATCAGCACGCAGACAAAGGAATACGGACACAGGCGTATACAAACACATATACACTGACATTTATGTAAACAAACAAAAAGCAAATGTTCCTGCTAATTTTTGTGCTGACCAATTTCATATGAACTGCTGCACTGGTTGGTCAAAATGAGCTAGAACTGAATTTTGAAACAATGTGAAAATATTAAATTTTAAGTTGTTGCAATCCAAATCACTGTCTTGATACTGTCACATCCTTGGTTGTGTGAATTAAGAATTTCTTTCAGACTTAGAAATGCATTTTTTGTTTGAAAGGAAAAAGAACTGAGAAAAAATCGCTTCTTTAAAGATAAAGTTAGCAGAGCATGTCAGTTAATTCTTTTAAATGATCTGCGCTTCCCTTCCCCCATTTTGCTCTGTTGGTGGTGAGAATATTGTGCTTGTCAACTCCTACAGTAATATGTTTAGGGATTTTACTTGCGTGAGATAAAACGACATGTAGCAAAAGGGCAAAGTTTGCTGCACACCAATTTCAGTTGGTTAACAAGCTGGAAACATTGCAACTATAATGTAGACAAAAACTGAATTATTTAACCAAATTTCATAAAAAAGCATTCTTATTATCTGATCAGAGAAATTATGTATGTAAGATAAAAACAGTTTCCATGTAATTGTTAGCTTGTGGACGTACAGCAGCTTTTTCTTGAAAAAGTACAAGGACTTTGTATGCACACATGGACATACATGTGCACATTTATACATGTATACATATAAATTGATCACATGTATACATATAGCATACAGTAATGTATCCACATCCACACTGACAAACATACAATGATGTGTTTTTTTTATGTTAACTCTACGTAGCTAACGGCATTCACCTAATTTATCAAGAACTTACCTGGTGCCCCTGGAAGTCCAGGTTCTCCTGGAAGTCCATTGATGCCAGGGTCCCCTGACAAACCTTGAACACCAGCAGTGCCTGGATAGCCAATGCCAGCCTCGCCAACTGGACCAGGAAGGCCCTTCCTGCCAGGAAACCCAGGGAAGCCTCTGTCTCCAGGCACCCCAAAACCAGCATCTCCCTACAGGCAAAGAGATCAATAACACAGCAGTTTAGCAACATTTCTTGGTGTTTATTATGACAGACAAAAACCTTCTATCTATAAAATGGTAACTTTACAGGAGAAGGAAAAATTGTTCTCAATCTTTAATGGAAATGAATGGAAAAGATTTTATTCCAAGCAATTTGGGACATTTCTGTTGGTCAATTGATCATGAACTTTTGAAACGAAGGGGCAGCCATTGTTTTCAAATTATGTGAAAAATAAAAAAATGACAAAAAATAATGCTTATATGTTAAAAAAATTGTTATAGTTATCATTAGCCAATGCACACTTTCAGCAAAAAAAAAAACATCTTTCAGGCTGAATGAAACACTCTACCAACTGAGAGACGGAATCCTGTGCTTAAAAATTAACTTCTTTAAAAGTTTACTGTGAAAGAGAGTATTTTCCCTATTTCTGATTTCACACAAGATATACACTTTGTGAAGCATTATTTGCTTATTTGATTATGATGTTGTGTATATATGACATAGATTTAGGTCCTTTCATGTTGTAGCGGGTTGTGAATTTCAATGGCAAATAAGCTTTATGAATTTGAACAAGATTAAGGAAAAGATAGGTTGGATGTTTAAGTAGACATCAAAGTGAGCTCCTGGAGATAACAGTTAGAACATGATTGTTATGGAGCTATTTGGGCAGTTGGGTGACTATCATCCTATCTCCTCACCGGTGGTCCTGGTAGTCCAGGGGAACCAGAGACTCCATCTCTTCCAGGTTTGCCAATATCACCTTTGGGACCAAGAGGCCCTGGCTCACCCCTATCACCCTTCTGTCCTTGACTTCCAGCAAAGTAAGAGTTCCCCTTCTCTCCTTTACGCCCAGCAAAGCCTCGCTCTCCAGGACGACCCTGAAATAAGACAGATGTTAACAGACATGATGTAAATTTGGCCCTAACAACCCTAATAATAAAAGTTACAACATCGTTCTTGGCTTGGATTTAACTGATAAAAAAACCTTTACATGGAGCTTTATTAAATATTCATTAAAATGTTCCTTAAACACACATTTCATTAACAAAAATCATTCTTTAAAGAACCACCCATTGAAAGAGTCTTTAGAGAACCGAAAGTGCATCTTCTTGGGATTCTCTCCGTACTAAAGAAAGTACCCTTTCTGACACCTCTTTTAAAAGTGTACTATAGAGCACTCTATTATGACCTTCTTTTGTAGCACAATCAACAGAGAATTCTTGGTTGATGTCACTTACACTTGGGCCCTGTAGTCCACGAAGTCCTGGAAATCCTTGGTCACCGATTTCTCCTTTCTGTCCACTTACTCCTGAGAGACCAGGGAACCCCTTAAACCCTGGTGGACCTTGTGGACCAGAGGTTCCTCCACCCAAGCAATTACAGTCTCCAAGTTCTCCTGCAAAACAATATTACAAACTGTGCTTTAATTTAACCAATGCCCAGATGTACATCCAGTTTCTACACCAACACGTGTGACTATCTAAAGTGGTGCTGAGGTGTTCCTCACCTTTAAACCCTTTGTAACCTCTTTCTCCTGGGGGTCCTCTGACACCTTTTGGACCTGGTGGACCAGGTAAGCTGGATGTCTCAAATGGTCCAAAGGGTGCTGACAAGTTTAGGGAAGCAAAAAGACATCAGTTTATTCATGATTCAGAATTATTCTGAGTGTTTCCAAGTCTCAAACAATAAAAAGTGTTCCTTCAGAAATTAAAGATGCGTATGAAATTAACAGAGAAAGCATTGATTGTGTAGCCACACAATACTTCAAATGTTTGTTATATTTTAGGTACGGTTAGTTAGCATGAACATAGTCAAATGCAGAACAAACAAAGCACCTTTTCTGCCAGAAATGTTTTTCACAGTGAATGAAAGCAACTCTTTCCATTAATTTAGAGATGGAAATCTGTCAGCGCTTAAAATGAGCCCCATTAAAAGCTTTTGGTGAAAGAGACAGAAAAATACAACATGCTTTGTAACAAGTGTCCTCTTCATTTCTGATTTCACGCATGAGGTACACACTTATTGAAGCATGATTTGAATGTTAGGCTATAAGCTCAATTTCTTGATTATGAGATCGTCTATATATTGACTGTTTCAGGTGTGTTTATTGCAACATAGTTTTGCAATATACCCACTAATTATGGACTACCTTTTATTATTTGACCCTTAGACCCCATTGTCACCACCAGGCATGGGCCAACCCACCAAGCTTCACCGACAGAAAAGAAGAACAGTCAATGGGTCATCCAATTACGGTTTTAAAACCTGACGCCTAAAATTCTTAGACTGGTCAATCTGTACACTTTGTGGTCATCAATCATGGTCCTGGTCTTCTAACTGTAAACTGATTTAGATACACAGTGTTTTGATAAACTGAATCAGTTAGATTTCATTTAAATTTTGCAGGCTGATCACATCTACACAACCTCTTATTAACCCTGAAGCACAGCTCAATCCTTCAAAGATCCTGCAGAAGCACTGACATTTTAAAAACAAGGAAAAAAACTATCATGCTGCAGTACATGTTAAACCATACAATATGAACAAATAACAGTACACATTATAAGGATGTGCAGTTACAAACTATTCAAATTATTTTATTACTGGAGGAAAAACCAAGTCTCCACAAAAAATCTGAGATGGTTTACCAGGGCGACCTGGAGGTCCAGGGCGGCCTGGAGGTCCAGGTAAACCTTGACTTCCAGGCTGCCCTTCAGGACCATAGGTTGTGCGACCAGGGTTTCCTTTCTCTCCCCTAGACCCAGGAGGACCAGGCAGCCCAGGCAGTCCTGGAGAGCCTGAATGGACAAAAGAAGTTTACAGTGAGCAAAGGAGGAAAGAGAAAAAATACTTATTACCACTAATCAATGTGTTAACAGCTACTGTGTGCAACTGCTTCTACGTTACTGACTTTTAATCCCTGGTGTCCTGATTTACTGTATTTTCATTTATGAACATAAATACTGAAGCAGAGACACATCACTGTGGAATATCACTGGTACCTGAGATAGAAGATCCAGGAGCACCAGGTTCTCCGGGAAGCCCTTCTGGACCTACATCTCCAACCTCACCAGCATAGCCATCAAACCCAGGATCACCTCTAGGACCTTTCAGAAATCAGAAGAGAAGTCTTTTTCAAATGTGCATCTACTTAAATGAGTGCGAGGAAACTGAGAAACGAGGATTCCACCTTTTTTCTTTAAAATTTTTCCATTACAATATAATATAAACAAGTCATTAAGAGTGGTTTGATATGAAATGTGCCATTCCATAGAAATTTACCAAGTCAGAGATGTTCCTAACAGTTGTGACAGCAATCAGTCTTAAGTGTTTAATGCCTCTAAAAGCTACCTCACAGAAAATGATTACATTCAGTTGTTATAAAAACATTAGTGGGTCCCTGAGATGTTGTCTTACAATAGTTCTGTGACACAACTTTGGGCTAAAACCTTTTTTATCCATTAATGGCAGAGTGGTACAAGCAGCGTGTTGTAAGGCAAAAAGGTAGATTTTTTTAAGCTTTACCACTATTTTACCATCATCACCAATACATAAAAAGTTAAAAGGCACATACAGGTTCACTGCTCATTTTGGATAGCAAATAAAATGGCTATATTTGCGGTGTAAATATTGCAACCCTTGTTTGGCGTCACTACCATTGTAAAGACAATCTGAGCCAGTAAGCTTCTCTATAATGCACCATTTCACATCAAATCATTGTTTACTTCTCAATGACTGAACTATATTCAATTTTGTAAAAAGAACACTGGAATTCCCCATTAATACATATATACATGCATAAAATGGTCCAGCAACTACCTTTCAGAAATCCTCCTTCACCAGTATAGGCAGTTGGCCCTGGTGGACCTATGTCTCCTCTGTAACCCTAAAAAAAAGATCCACAGCAAAATCCCTGGTGTTGAATGAACTCTTATATGCTCCTACACATTCACTTGTGTGCATCTCATTTTAAATGAAGACTGCAGATGTTCATTCTACACTGCAGATAGTAAGTCAACACTGTGAACGTTCATGCAGCACTGGATGATATATATGCTTGCAATCATACATATTTCTACACTCCTGTACTGTGTCAAGGTTCATACTCACTTTAGGGCCTGGAAAGCCATCTTGTCCAGGTAAGCCATAGTCTCCAGGATATCCCTATAGTAAAAATAGCAACGGGCATTGTTTTGGTGGTGAAGTAGAAGTAGTTGGCATAGCTGAAATTGAAGTAATTTTTGTGCCTTACATTTGTACCATCTTCTCCACGTGGTCCATTCAGACCAGGAGGACCCTGCAAAATGAAATAAAACAACGAAGTCAGAAAACTAGCTCTTTTGCATTACCAAAAAAACAATTCTCAGGACTTTCAGACATTAACCGATTGTGGCTCCATGGGACAACATTAACTAAACAATCACCCTGGAACCCTTTTTTCGTTTTGAAAGCTACTACAAGAGCACTTACTCGTAAGCCTGGTAAGCCGGGAATTCCTTTCTCACCATATTCCCCAGTGAAACCAAAAGGGCCCTGGAAGTGGAGAAAAGTCCACAGTGATTACAAGTTTTCCTTACAAATGATATAGGTAAGGGATTAAGCCTTTCGATGGAGAATCTCCATTTATTATACTGTGTAGTCTGGGACTAGGCTTAATCCCTATCTGTTGGAGTTTTATAAGCAAGTCATTTTCAGCCCATTGTGGAATGCTGTCATTTACACCAAACACTCTTTCCCATGATCCACGTAAACTGAGCCTCCTTACAAAGACGCTGAAGGTTCTTAGATCTTTCAGCCACATACTGCTGTTCCAATGCAGCATGTGAAGCTGTTTTACCTACTCGTTAGGTGTAATCAGCAGTGCAACACATTTATGACCATGGCATAATATTTTCCCAACCTCATTCACATCATAAACTGCCCAGTCCTATATAATCAATATTGATATTAATTATTTATACAAACAATTTTAGACATATTTAAGGTGAAGGCACTCAGTGCTGACTGGTGTTATTTTAAAGTTAATAATATAGCACCATGACGTAACAAAAAAAGAGCCCAAGAAAAGGTCACATACTGGTGGTCCGGGTCGTCCTGGGAGTCCTGGTTCTCCAGCATAGCCAATGTCACCCTGAAAGTTAGCAAGAGAGAGAAAAAGAGGTACAGAGAGACAGAGGGGACAGGCATCAGATGGTATAAATATATATTAAGACAGTCCAGTTGCCAGAGCCGTATCAAAATTGCAGGAAAATATCCTGATCCACTATTTATAAAACATACAACACAGATGAAATGTACATACATTTGTGATACAGTATTTTTAAATAACTAATACAGAATTAACTAACGCCATTCTTTTCTGAGAATATCCTACAATATGATCATATAATAATCATATAATATCTAAAACTGAAACATCTGAAATATTTTTAAAAAATGTTTGGGAAAAACCATAGGAACAAGTCCTGTTAGGGCTGAATATAATTTGGAAAAAGATCCAATGACTTGCAACCATAATGGAATCATTTTTTGTACTACATGGAGCCATTTTAAAAGGCTCTTTAAATAACTATATACAACAGATTCTCCATCATGGAGATGAACACAATAACAACAAAAACAATAATAAAAACAACAAGAACAATAATACATGCAATAAGGAATATAATAAAAATAATATTAGTCATTTAAAAAGGTTATGTTTTGTTGATTTTCTAAATAAAAATAAGCTAACATTCTTTAAAGAGAACAAATCTATAGCATTTTTTCTACAAATGCTGTGCACATTTTCTATAAATTTGCTGAGTATTGGAAAAAAATTAAATGTAAAACATAAAATGTGCCACAACTTTTGTACAGGACACATTTTATGTGTTATTTTTTCCAATACATTAAATTCAGCAAATAAACAGTAAGTGTGCATTAAATTGTGCAATAGTAGTTTTTTAGCTAGAATATAAACAAAACATAATACATCCAGGAGCACCCACTGAATATGGCTGTATAAAGAATAATAATAACATAAACCTATAAGTCACATGTGTCAGGCTCCAGTGCTCGCAGGCCAAAATACTGCAGACTTCAGCACACTGCCTCATTAAACACACCTAATTCAGCTTATCAGCTAATTACCAAGGCCTTCATGAACTGAATTCATAGCGTTACATGAGCGTAAATGCTAATCCCCGCAGCAATTTGGCCTGGAAGGTCCCCAGTTTGACATGCCTGCTATATATGATTCCTTGAGTTGTCGTGGTTCAATATATCCACTGCTTTAACTACACAAAAAAGGCACAACAGGCCTTAAGAGTGTAACTAATTAGTGTGGATGGGCAGCGGATATGAAATGAGGTGAAAGTGGGACAGTGTTGGGCTTCAGTGTGACGGGTGATGGAAGTGACTGTAGAAATAAAAGGACTGTTGGTAGACAGGGCTTCCTTATTCAGAACACGTCCTTCTTGATCTCTCTGAGCAGTATCATCCCACAAACCTGAGCTCCTTTGTCTCCTTTTGGAAATCCAACTAACTCCACAATTCCATTGACTAGTGGCCGGCCTGGATCGCCGGGCGGCCCCACGTCTCCCTGGATGTGGCAACCAAGGAAGAGAGAGTTTTTTTTTTTTTTTTTACACGAGACAGGATGGTGGGGACGGAGGCGGAGGCGACGGGGCAGGTGGTTGCGGTGAGAGTTTGGGGGGGTTGTAGGTGTAAGATTGAGTTTCAAAAGCTGTGACCCCTGTTTGGGGTGGTGGGGAGGTCAGGGTGATAGCGGGCTTTGAGGGAGAGTGGCAGAGACTTTACTGATTGACTGATCAACTCAGGATATTTGGATAATGCTACCCCAACACCTAGACCATTCTCTAAACTTAAACCTCTTAACCCCTTAAAGTCTACACTCCCATCAGCAGGTCCAGATATCTATTCCTCACTCTTCTAACAACAGGTCTAACCTATCCATGTTATGCCTACAAATGGGTACTTTTGTAGCAATTGTTGCGATGTTGGGCAAGCTTTACTGAATATTGAAAAAATACCATTCCATCTAACCAGAAACAATTGCACACAACTAAGTACACAACTCAGCGAGTTTCCAGTTAATGTTCTGTAAAAGCTATCCAACCTAGCCACAACTGCTATGAAGAACACATTTGTAGGTGGAGCATGAATAGGTAAATGTACAGTGGATACTGGATCATAAGCCCTAAAGGTGCATTAGGCGTTTTTTTTTTCTTTTCTACTAGTACAAATACCCTGAAAATATGTAGAACATGACAAAAATAACTGCTTTAACAATGGTATCAACGCTAGTGTATTATGTGGCTGAGAAACACTGTTTGGAAAACTGCAGGGTGTAGTGCAGGGCTTGTCTGTGACCTTCTGTTAGTCATTTTATAAGACACTCTGTAGTGTCACACTACTCCGCCCCATCTCCATCTGTTCAGCTAACTCTGCATTTACAAACTCTTGTACAGGTAATGATGCTAACTACAAAAAAAGCAAGCTGTTAATCAAGCAGTTAATTTTCCTTGTGGGCAAGACCATGTGTACTAAGACAATCATAATCCCCTGGACAAAAGAAAAAGAAACTTTGATGCTGCTCTGGCCAAATACAGCTACTACAAGTATATAATAAGTAACAGTATAGTTTTAATTATAATTTTGTGGAGACAAAAGGTCCCCCTGAACAAGTGAAATGTAATTCTCTGTGAGCATAATTTGCCAAGTACAACAAACCAATACTCCACCAGGGAGGAGAGCAGAAATTGTTGTTTTAGCTATGAGAGGGACTGCAGTCAATGTGCACTACTGAGATGCATGCTACATCGTGCATTATGATCTCTTCTCAAGCAATGTTAGCTTAGTGCCATACTATATCTAAATAGAAGTAAGGCCATACTCTTAATAAACAACCTACCTCATCACTAGAAAGTAAAGCCACAGCAATCCTTGGCAATGCTGGCAAACTCTAAATGAACTCTGATGGGCACAGTTGATTCTACAGAGGTGTTTCGTGATGATGAGTGGAAATGGGAAGCAGATCCAAAGAGTAACTGTCCTAGTGTTGTTGTTGTTCACCTATTTAACCAGTAGATGTTGATTATTTTGAATCTTGATTAATGCACCTTTAAGATTCATGACTGAATATGAAGCCTAGAGTTTAAGGGGTTCAACAGTATTAGCTCTTGGTAATCTAGAGGCAATTGGTGATCAGTAGGTAAGTGTCTGATGGCTTGGCCTACACAGCAGAAGGTTCTAAGTTCGAGAAAGTTTATTGTGAGGCTCATACAGGATTTAGTGGCTTCTCCAGCCCTGTCCTCTCCCAGCATGCCTCACTCTCGCCCTGACAGAGCCCCTCCCTGGGCTGGTATCACTGCTCCCCTGTGTGTTACCTTATCTCCTTTGTTGATAGTGCTTATAGCTGGTGAGCCTAACATAGCGGCCGGAGCGCCCCTGAGTCCTGGTGGACCTGCATCCCCCTGAGATCCACAAGACACACAGAGTACACATTAGAGCCCGAGAGTGCGGGACAGAAAGAGCATGGAGAGAGAGAGAGAGTGTGTGTGAGAGAGAGAGAGAGAGAGAGAGAGAGAGAGAGAGAGAGAGAGAGAGGGAGAAAGAGAGAAAGAGGTAGAGAGAGAAAGAAGAACAGAAAAAGAGGAGAGAGGGAATAGAGCACTGCTATAAGTGATATCTGACCAAGTGAAAAATCTGAAATGTCTCAGCACATCTAATAGACATGTTTTGTCATGATGAGACTGCTGTAAGAATATTATAAGACCAATTAATTTCTAGACAATTTGAAAGTAATTTGTTTTTGAAATGAACTCATTCTTTTACTAAATCAACTTGGATAAGACTGTTACTAGATAAAATTACTTACAACAAGTAAAACGTTCTATACATTGATTGCATAATTTATATATTTTCAGTATTATTTACAATAATTTCATTATGAGAAATCGTTGACATACTGGGACAGTTTTACTGAAAGAGGCACTAATTACCGACAGTCTACCATAATTTTGTGCCAAGTGGCCTATTTTGTGGCTTATTTACTTAGAACTTATATTTAAATGAACACAGACAAGCTGTTTTTTATACTTTGACATAAGTAAAAAAAATAGAAAGTATGTGATGATTTTGACGTTAATTTTAGAAAATGAGACAAATTCAAGAAAACAAATAAAAACTCATTTTACAGCTTACAGAACTTAGTTCAGTGGCAAACTCATTTGGAAACTGCAATATTTTTGAAATCTTTCATTAATTTCACTGAATGCGTCCTGTTCATTTAGGAACTGTACGATTTTGAACTTGTGATGAGCGTAGCTTCTTAACTATGTGCAGTGCATCAAAGACTTAATATATGCTTTTAACGATAGTTTGGAAAAGAAATTTTTTATTTGGGGCAAACCTACTCCTAAGAGAATCTGATGAGTGTTGTAAAATACACCAAAGCAGTTTAAAAGATCAATTTACTGTCAGGCTGAAAAAAGGAAGGAAAGAAAGAAGCAGTGTTAGAGGGAAAAAGATGCAAAAATGTATGCAAAGAAAGAGGCAAAGGGGCAGAACTTTGAAAGAGAGAGGAATGTGATCAGCAGTTGACATTAAGATTCTGGGAGGGAGGAGTGAAGGGAAAGAAACGTAGTCATTCAGAAAGAAAAGACAGAAGATAGAAATAGTGGGCTCAGTTTTCAATGTATACTCTTCATATGACATGTTTACTAAACCACTTAAAAAAAGGTTGGAAATTTCACTCATTAATATTTCAATCCAGTTACTCCAAAAACGTATTAAGTCACAGTTTCATAGATTTGAATAAAATAAGCCTATTCGACACACTTTGTTCATTAAAACTCTTGATTTGAGAGACAAAAGCATGCACAATTGTTTTTCTTTTCTTATGATTGTTAGTGTTCATTCTTATTGGGGAAAAATCCTAACCCCAAAAACTACAATTCCCATGCTGCCCCACGACCAAAGAGTGTCTCTTCCGATAGATCAAAGGAAATGAAGCCACACAGGAAGTAGGAGCGAGTGAATCCAGACCCAGCACAGTAAGGTGGCTGATCATAAAAATGCAACACAGTAACAAGTCAAACGCACAAAAAATCTCAGTCAATGGGTTACTGATGTTGTACTCTTATGTCTGAGCTGGCAACCTTAGGCACAGGCCAACTGAAACTTCAACCCATATGGCAGCTCAATGATTCCATTTGTCAATTATTTTTTTTTCTTTTTTACAGAATCTCTGAACTGCCATGGAACAGAAGGAAAAATGATAATTTGTCATCTGCAGTGCTACTGTGCTTGCTTGACCAAAACTGATTCCAAATACTGTATGTGCTGCACTTAAATAGAATTAAAACCCGATAGCACTGCAGGTATTATATTCTGCATGTATGACTGTAAGAAATGTTAGTAATACTGCCCATGAATACCAATTAATCTAAGGCATTGAAGGTTTATATATGCTAATTTTTTATCATGCTAACTTCAGATGTGCATGGCATTCATAGAAAGTGTTACTCAGACTCTTTTAAACTTGTTAAAAGTAGCAGTCATGAAGCAGATTGCTTGAAAACAAGGGAGGAGGGGTGATTCATGTATGGTGGAGACTGTTAAGAGAAGGAAAGTGTCATTCTAGCATGCATGAGATTTAATCAGAGCAGCCCTGATGCTGCCCTAGCTTAAACAGATTGAACCAAAGGTGCTAATGTGCCTAACACTGAATGAAAGCTAGACAGTTAGTGGTCAGCTAGCATGATGTCATGCAAACTGGTAACATTTGCCTTCATTCACCATTCGCCACAATACCACTATCTGGTTGAAACCCTGATCAAATACCCAATGGACACATTCATCCGGTTTCATGAACATGGATTAAGCCTAGTATAGGACTAAATTGTAACATAAATCACTAAAATTTACTATTGATAAGTCTGATTAGCCTAGTATAAATCTTATTCTTGGGTATTTGATCTTTGTTTTGTTAATTTATCACATCAAGAAGCTGTCTCACTGAAGACTTTTTTTTCATGATTAAACTGAAAAGCTGACACACTGTAGTCTCTGAAAAATTGATTGTTCAAAGGCAGATGGTATATGTGCTCAAAGAAGGTATCAATCAAATCCTTTTCATCACATGCAATGCCATCCCATGCCAATACACTGAGCAGGCACATACACACTCATGCATGAACACAACACTATACAGTTCACGATTTTCACACACATCAGCTCATGAAGAAATAGACAGTTAGTATATAAAATCCAAAAGAAAGTCAAATGGTAAATCTGCCAAAATAGATGAGAACAGAGATGTTTGTTGGCGTTGTTGACTAAAAACAGTTACCTTCTCTCCTGTCTCTCCTTGGTAACCCTGACCAGGGTTTCCCTAAAAAATAAGCAGATAGGTTGGAGACCCAACTATGAGTGATCATTTTGTGCAATAACTATGGTTGGATTCCCTTTGCTTACATTTGCTTACAAGGTCTGAGCTAAAACAATCTATTGTGACTAGAAGGCAGTGTTTTACTGAAGAGTCAGTTAATGAATTTGACTGAAACTACAGCATGATGAATAAATGTTCTAAAATCCAGGAGGAGTTCAATAAAAAAGTAAATCACTAGTCCTGTGCATTGAATTATTTGGCGCCCTCTTCTGGAAAACCAGGGCAATTGTAATGTAAGGAAAAAAACCCAGGAAGCTAAGCATCATAACTAAGCAATAAGCTGGACTTCATCACACTGATGTTTTATGATTTGTAGAAGAATTTTATGTTTACAATGTAACATTATGTTTAATATTAAGGAGTAATATTTTCAGTTCAATTGGAATTAAAGTATCATTGTTGGAAATTGCAGGTAGGTCTGTTTTTCCCTTGTATCACTGTTTCATTCTTTTTCTGTAAGTCATGTTCTGTTATTATGTTATATGTGTATGTCAAGCATGTTATGTTGTATATTCTTAATTCTAACAGCTATAGAGCTCAAATATGTGACCTGTTTCTCACAACATCCCTAACACACCTGTTAAATTACACTCTCTACATTCTGAGAGGCTATTAAGAAAAGCTCTGTAATGATACAGTCCAAACAATACACTCTCCAAACATCCAGAAGACTATGGCCCTGACTTTGAAAAGTCATTAGCACAAGCAAATTGTTTTAGCTTAGCTTAGGCTGCACCCATTGAGTAATTGTAGGGCAAAGAAGTGTGGATTAATTTCTTATGTAGTGTAGCTGTCATCATCTTCTCAAAGAAAAACTCAAATACTGAGGTAAATGCACTGTTACAACTTACTGTTGGCCCAGGAGGACCAGGTGGACCAGGAGGGCCCTAAAGTATTAGAGAGAGACAGACAGAGAGAACACATGTATTAGCAGATATAATAGGCAATTATCTCAGTATCCGGTATGGTTGCTTTGGCTGTGTTCTCACAGCAAAATAAGAATAGGGTACATACAGGGTAACCGATGGGACCAGTGGGACCAACTGGACCAATTGGACCAGGTGAGCCAGGAGGACCCTAAAGTACAAACCAAGTTGGATGGAGTTTAGTGTGTAAACTCCAGTACATCCCAGCACAATGAGATAAAATTTAGATTTAAGGTCCTTAAAGGTACTGCATTCTTTTGGATTACCTGTTGACCTCTGGTAGATTTATAGTATTTCAGATTAGGGCTGTCTCTATCAATTTATTATTTTAGTAAATGAATTAATATTTTTTATTAATATTTTAGTAAACGAAAAACCTATCAATTCTGTCAACGATTAATCAAGTTATCTAACATTTGAAAAAGACAAAACAAGAAAGTGATATATAATATAAAAACAAAAATTGCACATAAATGCGTTGTCCATCAGACTCAGCAGAAGAATTCAAAATAAGCCTTATCATAATGCCAAATGCCAACAGACCATGGCCAATTTACTGAGATTGTAAATTGTACTGAGTATTTTTTAGTAACTGTGACGGCCTTATTCCAGGACCACCAGTATTCATTTGTCTTTACTAATTTTACTAGCTATCTAACAAACTATAATTTGTTTTGGAGCAATAGCAATTATAGTGTGCACAACAGCTTTTAGATGGTATGAACCTAAACTTCTTTATTGTACAAACAGCAGTAAGAAAAGAAGTGCACATCGCGAATGGCGTGTTACCGTGATGTCTGTAGGAATATACACTGGTTCTCCTTTTTGTCCTTTAATGCCGGGCAACCCCTAAAACAAACAGACAGACAGACAAAGAACTGTCAAGGCTGTTACGTGATATTAAAAAAAGAGGAGTTGTTGGTGAAAAGAACTAGTCCTGAACAGTGAATGACCATAGCAAGCCCATTCTGCATACTCACTGGAGTTCCAGATCTGCCAGGTAGGCCTGGGAAGCCTGGAAAGCTGGGATCACCCCGTGTTCCATTGCAACCATCAGCTCCTGGAAGTCCTCTTGGCCCTTCCTGGCCAGGGTGACCCTGTGGAAACATTAAACCATGATGCCTGGACTGGACTACTGCCATCCCAGGTGTTTTTTAGGACTGACCATCACTGTGGCAGAGACTGACTGATTCCAAGCACAGTACACAATTAAATAAGGCGTCCACTCGCTGAAGTACACAATGCCTAGTTTTACTTCTGTGACTACGTAATTTGCAAGAGGTAAAAGACTCATATTTTTACTATAGCAAATAGCAGTGCAAATTTCAATTCACTGCAAATGCTTGCCTGGAAATTAAAGCTAAGAGGTTACGGATGGTACCTAAAGGAATACTCCAGCATTCTGTCACATTAGTAACATATGGTCGATTATAATTTCCTGTACATAGAAAGCAATAGAAAACCTGTTAAGTCAAAACACCCTTCAACAAATAAGCCAATGGACTGTTTTCAGTTAAAATATGCTCTGTTCTTTAACTGAGATCAGGGAAACCACTTTTCCTTTTTTACGATACTGATACCGATACTGATATTAAAATCTTGAGTATTGGCCCATACTGGGCTAATATTTTTCTTTAAAAAACTACAAAAAAAATGAGCTGCTCTTTATTTGAAGCACTTCACTTAAGATGATTTTCTAAAAGTAGGCCTCATTGATCAAAGTACTTAAACCCTTTATTACCATAAAAAAAGAAATACACAGCTAACAACTTCATACAATGTGAGTGAATGCTTTGTCAGGCAAAATATGTTCTAGGATTAAATCAGATATCTTATGATTTTCAACCCAGCATTTCCTACTGATGTCAGGCCATACTGATATGCCATCTCTACGCTGGAGTATTCCTTTAACCATCTTAGTTAACTGGTGTAAGATCCTGGGTCTGCATTTTGAGAACAGTGTGTTTACTCACTGGAACACCATCGGTACCCGGAAAGCCAGGAACACCCATCGGACCCTGTCCAAAAAATGTAAAATCAGGTACTGAGGAACAGCCTTACAGAAATGTTTCAGATGAACTGCCTCTAATTACATTCTGCATAAACAAGACTCAAAGGTGCAGCATGAAAGGATGTATATAAACAAGGCAAATCTCTCCTAAACTAGTGAGACAGCAACTGTGTATTACATATACAGATGATCTCACCTTGTCCCCTTTTGGTCCAGAGGGCCCTGACCGACCGACATGACCACTTTCTCCTTTAGGCCCCACAGGCCCTGGAGCACCACCAAGGCCCTCAGGCCCACTGGGCCCCACCGGCCCCAAGGGTCCGGGGCGACCCTGACAGGAAGAGAAAGCAAAGCGGGTCAAAACAGATAAAAAGCTTGCTACTGAATGTGCATTCCGGTATTTTTTGTTTGAATATATGTGGCAAGCTCAAGCTCATATCTAGATGTTTAGACAGCGGTACTGATGTTAAACACTACACTATAATACTAACTGGGAGTCAATCCTGCATCACTTCTGGGGATATCCTGGCAGAATCCAAAAGGGTGAGCCAGAGACAAATGTACAGTCTATTGTACTTAACTGTAAGGTAGATCTATACTTTGGAGTGCAAGTTACCATGTGGGGCAACATTGGGCTAATTAAACTTGGTGTTTCTCACAGGTTTGAAATGAACCAGAGAAAAGCATTTATTTGGAGTTAGAATTCTAATATATATGAATATAAATGGATAACCAAGAAATTATAAAGGGAATAATTGGAATAAAAACAGAAATAGGATCAGAAAAGGAAAAGCTGAAATAAACATGTTGATTTCCAATGATGCTTTAAAATTAAATAAGCCCTGATTGTTTTTTCACCTTCATACACACCTACACCTACACACTCACACACACTCCATTAACAAAATAATGACCCTATATTGTGCTTTTGTCTGCACTTGTAGCACTAAATGTCTGTGATAGCTGGTAGTAAAAGGAATGCTGGAGGTCACGAGTGTGGTGTGGAGGTCACAGCAGAGCACCTGGATTGAGGTGTCCTCCAGACAAAAAGCACTGTCCGCTTATTACGCCATTATGATGGCCCCAAAGATAAAAGAGTGGCTCCTGTTTTACATACTGTAGCTCTGTCTGTCTAATTGGCAGTTATTCTTTGTCTGATTCAAATGGTGATGTGTGTGTAACTGATTTATGATTTGTTCTAAAGTTCCAGAATGACACTTTAAAAGTCTAACTGAGTAATGTTTTCACATCTTATTTCATATATTAGTGGATCACTGGAGCTCAAAAGCTGTTTCAACTACTACAGAAGTGACTTGCCCTGCCATGTTTCACCACATTTCCATACCTGCTGGCATGAATATAACATTTTCTCTTGAACTCTAAGGGTCCATATGTGGACTCATCGCATTTTGGGAGCGTGTGCTCTGAATGCAATTAAACAGGTATTCAGATAATTTTTTAAAATGTCTGCATAAAAAAATTGTTAAGATACAAACAAAGTCATTCAGAGTGAAATGCTCCATTCTAAAGAAACAGAACTGCGGTGGTGGTAGGAACAGGACGTCTGAAGAGTTTAATGCCTCCAAAAGCTACATCACTGAAAACTATTGTTTTCATTGTTTTATTTTTGAGACAAAGTTTTGGTCAAAAACATATTTTTAAAGGTTATTCCTGGTGGAGAGGTGTGGTGTAAGAGAAAACAGTTACCAAATGAGAACTGTGTGTACTTTTTTTAATCAACCAGTATTTTACCATGATCAACTTTATTATTTATTGTTATTTGCCTTGCAGACATGGCAAAATCTGGTTCCTATCACCACCACTGTAAAGATATTCAAGCTGGTTCATTTCTCTACAATGATCCATTTCTCATCAAATCATTCGGAAAAAACTTCAATTACATCTCAAGGATTAACTTAAACCAACATTTTGAAAAATGGGGAATTCACCTTTAATGATGTAAAAAACAGATCTGTGTAGTTTGTCTGAGTACAATCTGCTAATATTTTCAATCACAAGAATTTTGTCTTTAAGAATTAATGATATATGGATATCATATCATCACAGTCAAAACCTCATATCTTCAAAATGCTTCCTTCACAGGAGAATAAAAAAATGGTCTTATAACCGAATGTACATTAATGTAACACTTTCTATTTCTGTTGGTCTATTCACAAAATGCAAAGGGCGGCTAGTATATTCAAGCAGTGTAAAATAAATAAATAAATACACGAGGTTTTGATGCCAGCAATGATATACTACACTCACCTGATGCAAGCAAAAAAAAACTTTGCAAACTCCTGATTGTGGTTTTAAGACCTGCTAATGAGAAACCACTTGTGAATCTTATGCCCTACCACACGGTGGGGACATTAGGTAACAATATCATTTTCCCACACAGCATCTCCTGCTAAAAGCATGTTTGACATGCAGCAATAAAAGTGAGAGGTGATTTATTGCTGTTAGGAGTTTCTCTCTGAGCTGCAGTGGAGACTGACAGATGCTTGTCCACACTAAGGCAGAGAGAGTGTGCGAGTGCAGGGTGGAAGGGAGGTGGGGTCACTCAGGACGGCCTGTTGTCAGGCTTCACTCATGTCTGCCTGTCAAAGGGGAGTGAGTGCATTCCACACAAACTCTCCCTCTCTGTCTCCCTCTCTCTCATACACGCACAGACTAAACTCACAGACTAAAAGAGATTCACACCCTACAATTAATGGCTGGCAGGGAGAGACAGAATTAGGTGTAATTTGAAGGGCCACCTGGTTCCAGCGAGGGCCGAGCTGAGCTTCCAGACACACAGGCCAGGAGGGGAGAGGAAGCCCCGGTCACAGCAATCCCGCCAGACCATCCATTACTCACAATTACCACCCTGCAACCTGACTCTGACTTTGAAAATGAGCTCCAGTGCACAACATGTGCGCTCTCCTTCAGTAGTCTTGCTGGGTTCATTGCATTAAACTTAGAGCATGAAATTAATATTATTTCCAAAAAAAAAAGAGGTAGTCCATGATTTGCATAACAATACAAAACAAATATACTGTTGTTATAGATGTAATCAAAGTAGTTATGGACACAATACAGGCCATAGTCTTGTACAGCTTAATGAATGCTTGATCGTTAGCAGACAAGGTGAGTTTGGTGTGAATCAGAGCAGGGAGAATGTGGGGATAGTGAATAATCAAAGCCAAAACATGAGGTAATACATTTGCACAATACATGATATGTAACATTAAGTTTGTTTTTCTGCAGTTTGCGAACATGTAATTTACAAGGCTTTGAAAAACTGAGTACAATGATTTTTAGATTTATTTGCAAAAATAAACTATTTAAGAAGAACCAGGGGGAAAAGTCAAGCAATGGGTAAAAATATAGTAAAAGGCCCATATTCTACATTTTTCATAATTTATTTTTCACCTAATCATTTTCCAACTTCTCTTTATCCCTTAGAATTAAACTGTCTGTGTTTGTTCCTGTGCCTCAAACACTGATTTAAGATAAATGAGCTCTGTTCCGATTGGCTGCCCTTCATTCAAAAAGCACTTAGAGCTGAAACACTCTTTCAATGCGAGTGGACAGGGCTAAACTGCTAAACTGAATAGGTGGATTAGAGTTTCCATGATATGGGTCCTTTATACCATGAGTTGTTACTATGTAGCTTACATTGTTATTATGCACTGATTGTTGTTGTTTATAGACTCTCTATAATTGATTTACACATGCAGTTGTTAATCTAGGAGGTAATGATACCCATGAAATACTCAGTAAAGTGCACTGTGACGTAATTTCATAATAATGGTAACAAATTGATATTGCTCAACCCTAACTGCAGGCCTCAGGACACCGGCACCGGCAAGTTCTTCATTGCATACAGCTGCACCCAATATTATTTTTAGAAGTAAGCTGCATGTTTCACTGCTTATGTATTTAATATAAATGTATTTAAAACAAACAAACAAACAAACAAATGAAAAATTGCTCCGCTACATCCAAACAATCAGCTTTAATCTGTGGTCTCTGACTAAGACTTCTGCAGTGAGCTGTAGAGACTTCTGCACATTGTCTATAATTCTTTAGATGACTCAGCTGTTAACACTGACTCACACTTCTATAGTACAGGGTGCAGTGATTAGAAGGAGAAAAGAGCTTGGAGAAGCTCCCTCTTGAACCAGACCTCTTAATTACCTTAATGAACACTGCCTCTTGATATGGTGTGATAAATGCTTAACAAGCTTGAACACAGAAAGGCAGACACAGAACGTCAGCACAGTGTATCCACCAGATGAGCTTGGATTTGTTACACCCTCACATCACATGCATTCGCACAAAAAAAGCAACGCACTGAATTTAGTCGAATGTGGGTATCATCGATATATCAATATAATACCTATGCAAAAGTTTCCGTTGATTTTCTAAGCAAAAATAAGTTAACAGAGCCTCTACAGAGGACACACTTTTGTATATTTTAATGCATAATTACTGCTGTTTTGCTGAATTTAACATACTGGGAAAAATAAAATACATGTGGCCTGTGCAAAAGTTATAACACATTTTATATTAATATATTTTTAACAGTATGTTAAACTCAGCAAGTAAGTAGAAACAATGGACTAACATCTGCAGAAGCATTAAAGATAAACAGAATAGCGCCCATGTTCGGATTATTGGATTACTATTCCCTTTCTGTCTCAAGCTGGGAGAGCCAGCTCTCAAACCTGGCTGTAAACCTGTGCCATTACACAATGATGACCCCCAAGGCGGAGCTGCCATTGTAAAGAATATCATTTGAAAACCTGCGCAGAGTGTTGGTAACTGGATCAGTTGCCTACATCAAAGTAGTTTTCTTCTGGCATTAGATTTTTCAAATTATATGTGCTGTTATAGCTCATCTAGTTGCTTCTCGAATCTGCTAGTTTTTCAAAACTATTATCTGGCCCTAGTTCTCAGGTCACCCTGCCCTGACTGTGGTTGTAAATACCACAGAGAGGACATGGTGACCATACAGGGTCAAATATTGACAAGGTTGTCAACTTGTGTTATCAACAACAATGGCAAACTCCTGAAGAAAAAAAAACTTAATCAGTCTCATACATAGCTACCTTATCATTTGATATTTTTTTATGCTATATGTCATATTGCCTTTTTTATTCTGCAGTCTCTCATTTATTTTGTAATCTCTGTAAATCATTTTGATTTTGATTAAAATATGAAAAAATCCATTAGTATGCCAGATATTATGTTAGATGTCATGACCAAATTCACCAATGTACTGTAGTGATACATTCTGTCTGTGATAGATTTTCCCCCTTTAAATAAATCTTCTTCCTGACTGTA